CAAACTCACTCTCCACCACCTCCCCCCTTCAACCTCTTCGGCTCGGGACTATACTCATCCCTCCCAAACCCACATTTTTGATACCACCTCAACGCCGTCTCATTAGCCGTAAAACACGTTAACATTATTTTTTGCACGCTAGGGATTGCGTGTGCTATGTGCGTTAGGAGAGTCATTAGGTGCGTGCCTAGACCTGTGCTTGGGGGTTTGTTAGGGTTCTGTTGGTTGGGGGTGGGGGATAGAGTGGTGTGGTGTGGTGGAGTGATGTAATTGGGGATACTGAACGGACAAGGGGGAAATAAGAGATATACCTGCGTAATTCATCTTCGAGATGGATTTCATATAGATATAATACCTCGATCTCATCCTCAAAGGTAGGCATGAAACTCATAAATCCCTTAATTTCCCCTTTTTCTACAATCTTCTCCTCCATTTTCTCCATCTCCTCTCCATCTTCCTCTGCACCACCCTCCTTCTCATCTCCCTCTCCCTCTCCCTCTTCACTCTCACCCCTCTCCACATCCAAATCCTCCCACTCCCCACCCTCACCCCCACAATCAATCTCAGAACCCCCCTCCCCTTCCCCTTCCCCTTCCTTTACTCCCTCCCTAACAACCAAATACCTCAAATCCCACAACCTCATCTCCCTCCTCTTCCTCCCCACATTCCACCCCTTTCTACTCCCCCTATAATGTTTCCCCGAAGTCCTCTCTATCAAATCCAAACACGACTTTAAATCTTTTGCTGGAAGTGTTTTGGACATATACAATTTCAATTGATATGTTTTTGCAAATTTTGAATCACCAGTTTTGGGTAACGGGGTATAAGACGCATATTCAGATCTAGAAGCCTGATTATTAGATATACGTTGTAGCAAAGAATAAGGGAGAATAAAGCGAGGAATAAGGAAAGTAAAATGTAGAGAGATGAATTACCGAGGAGGTAAATAATCACGTTCGAAATCCGCGAGAGATTTCGCGCATGCAATTTCGATCTGGTTTTTCGAGGGAATAATGACGGGCATTTTTTTTTTTCCTTTTTCAATCTTGAGATATCAGAAATCAGAAGTATGAATATTGATCTTGTACCTAGTAGTTCCTGCTTTGATTATAAAAATGGTAAAATTGTTCCCTACATCAATTATCATTCTGTAGACGCGTCCATAGCTCGACAAAGTGAAGTACCCCGCGACGCGAAACTCCAATTCCGCTCCGCCCCACCATCTATCTATCTTCATCTCATTATCTTCCCATCCCATCAAATCCCATCATTTGCCCCGAACCTCAAACTTCACTCTACATTCACTCATAACATAAACCCATAAACCCAGATATTGGAATATACATGCACTCACCATGCGCCATGCGCACCCACCCTTTACCCTCCTACATGCGAATTCCCATGCATATTCCCATGCGCATTCCCATTCGTAACATCACTCGTACAACCCGCCCATACTCCACCGCCAAACCCCGACCAGCAAGTAAACTCGGCCCAACACTTTCCTTAGATCACGTATGTTCCCTCTCCCCCTCCCATTCCCCGACCCCAAAACCAAAACCCATACCCAAACTAACCTCCCCCCCTCAAAAAAACAGTTCCTCCAACGAAGCAAAGCCCTCTCCCTCTACCGACACATCCTCCGCGACTGTCAGCGCATACCCGATTTAGTGACTCGAGCAGAAACAAAGAGGTTTGCCCGAGAGGAATTTGAGAGGAATAGGGGGGTTGTGGATTTGGTGGGTTTATTGATTTATTTTAATTTAATTTTTTGTTTGGGGAGAGATGGGGTTTGATTTGGAGATGGAGGGGTGGAGATTGGGGTTAGAGATTGGAGATGGGATGGGATGGGATGAGAAGGATGGTATCTGTACATGGAAGTGAATTCTTTTGAGTAAAAAGCTAACAGCAAATCCGCAAATAGAGCCAAATCAAATATTTAATAGGGACAGGGAAGACGCAGTGGGAGGGGGTAGAGAGGTATATTACTGGGATATGATATGTGGTATATGGGCGGAGGGAGGAAGACTTGTATATATATGTATTTGTGCGCAGCGGATATGGAGTTTATTTTGGGAAAATGGACATTGAAGTCTGTAAATGGGGTGGATAGGATGTCGTATCCTGCTGGATGTAAAGGATTTTATGGGTATCCAGGTTGCAAGAAGCTTTGTATATTGTATATTGTCTGGTTTGTGGAGTGTGTATGTATATATGTACGCATTTTTTTGTGACGTATATGCAGAGTTGATTCTTGCTCTGCTAACATATCTAGCATTCCTTCAACGCCAACCTAGTATCTAATACTCTCTACGAGTATACAGAGAAATACTCATATCGTACACTGCACTTCTTCTCACCATTCCTTGCATTTCCTTGTATCGAAACCCCAATACCCTCGTACTAGTCTTATTGTGCGCGATTCTCCAGCCCGTAATATATTCGATCGAGATTCGTTTCCTGCTGCATGCATGCTCTCATCCCATCCCCGTTCTTATTCAACCCAATCCAGCCTGATGTTTCGCTCCCGTGTGGATTCGAACAATCTATTTTCCTTGTCTCTGCTTGTGTTTGGGGTTCAATGAACAGATGATGTAGACATGTCCCTTTCCGGTTTTTCCACCCTTTCTTTTGACGCTCTGTGTTATGCGTATTAGCATTTGTTCATCCATCCATCTATCCAATTATCCACCCATCATAAGCTTCACTCCCTCAACCCCCAAAACCCAACCCCACACCTCCCTCTAACCCCCTCCAATCCCCTCAAACGCCATCAAAAACAAAACCAAAACCAAAACCATAACATACCTTACACCCCTCACACAATTTCTTCACCGAACTCCTAACCTTCATGCCCCTAACCTGTTCTGCACCCATCCTCTCCACCAATCCCATTCCATTTCCCCTCTCCACCATTCCCATCCCCATTCCCAATCCATTTCCCACACCCGGTCTCTTCTGCATCTGCATCTGCAACGAAGCAAAATACCTCATTCCACCAATCCCCCTACTCATCCGCACCAAACCCACAGCCCCTACACGCGCCGTGCTCAATATCATGGACATAGACATCTTCAATCTTCAATCTTCAATCCTCAGTCTTCAAACCTTAATCCTCAATCTTCAATCCTTAACCCGTAATCGTCCAGTAAATTTCTATCTCTCTCAAACGTAGACAATTCTTTCCTAGTCCTAATCGTAGACGTCGATTTAGTTCGATTTCACCCGTCGTAAGGATTTTAGACTTGGAAGGGCGCTAGTATTATATTATCGATAGGATAAGGTTAGTGCACGGACCAGCTCCCGGTGAGTACTTCTCTACTAAGATCAAAGTATAATTTCCAAAACATTTCACAACAATGATTTATTTCCGTCCCCGTTCTATGATATAAAAGCAAAAATCAGATATTGAATCTACGATGTATTTCATCATATTCTAGTATATCTAATCATGCATATAAAACCGTCCGTCTCCATGTCCATGGACTTTTATCTACATGTAAATCATCCAGAAAACGCCGAGCTAAGATCACTACCCCATCCATAAATAGCAAATGTTCATCCCTGGTTTATCTCCTATTGATCATATCTCATCTCTCATCTCTCATCGTTGTAACTGTTCATGTTCCCCACCCCCCTAGAATCATAATCTAAGATCTCAAAAACGTCTTGAAAACCTCCGACTCCGTACAATCCGTCCAAGGATATCCAATTTCCTGCAAGAAACTCTCCAAATGTTTAACCTCATCATCAGGACACACGATACCCGTTAGAACCTTTCCAATATCACTTCCCGCATTACGGTATTGGAAAAGACTAATGTTATATCTCGGTCTCAATGTTGTGAGAAATTTCTCGAGCGCTCCAGGTCTTTCTGGGAAATTGAACATGTAAAGTCGTTCGTTTAGTACTCCGGAACGACCACCAACTAGGTAGCGAATGTGTGTTTTGGCGAGTTCATCACCAGAGAGATCGATGGGATTCATACCGCTGGATGAGATACGGAAAAGGAGGGATTGAAGTTCTTCATCTCTTTGGGCGGCTGGTGAGGTTAGAGAAATACCAATGAGCACATTGGCAACGGAATCTGTGGCATATCGATAGGAAAACTCGGTGACAGCATGTGGCATGACAGCTTTGATGAGTTCGGAAAAGGCTCCAGGGGTTTCTGGAATGCTGACGCTGAGAAGAGCTTCTTTGCGTTCTCCGAGTGCGGCACGTTCGGCCACGAACCGAAGACGATCAAAGTTCATATTTGCTCCAGACGCAATAGCCACGAGATTGCGAGACGTGTCGGGAGATGGGTTGGCTGCAATATATTTCTTGAGTCCTGCTAAAGCAAGAGCTCCAGCGGGTTCGACGATGGATCGTGTGTCTTCGAAAACGTCTTTGATAGCTGCGCAAGTTTCGTCCGTGGTGACTTCAATAATATCATCAATGACCTCTTGACATATTCTGAATGTTTCCTCTCCCACGTTCTTAACTGCCGCACCATCTGCAAATAATCCCACCTCCTTCAATGCCACTCTCTTTCCAGCTGCCAGTGATTGTACCATGGCATTTGCATCATAAGTCTCCACACCAATGATCTTTACATGGGGAGCGATGCGCTTAACATAAACACCAATTCCCGCAATCAAGCCCCCACCTCCCACACAACAGAATATAGCCTCCAACTTTTGAATATTCGTTTGTCTGAGAAGTTCCATACCAATCGTACCCTGACCTGCAATAACATAAGGATCATCGAACGGTGGAATATTCGTCAGCCCATGCAATTTCTCCAATCTCCCACACTCCTCCTTTGCAGCATCGAAATCCTGTCCATGTAACACCACGGATCCTCCCAATCTCGATACGTTGAGATGTTTAATACTAGGCGTCCCTTCTGGCATCACAATAGTAGCAGGCATCTTGAGTTTGCGCGCCGAATATGCAACACCTTGTGCATGATTTCCAGCCGAACAAGCAACGACACCTTTCCAGCTAACCTTCGGATCCAAATGTGCCATCTTATTATATGCACCCCTCAATTTGAAGCTGAAAACAGGCTGGAGGTCTTCTCGCTTTAGTAATACGTTGCATTCTAATCGATTGCTGAGGTTGATCGCTGGGGTGAGGGGGGTCTCCGTGACAACTTCGTAGACTCGAGAGGTGAGGATAAGTCGTAGATACTAGATTCAATTGATTAGCTATGGCTTTGGTAAGAAACTCGAGTACTCTTTACATCAGGATATCCATTTGGTAGAATGAATTCTTGTGGTACGACGCTCCTGACTTTTGATTTTGGATTTTCGCTTGGCGGGGATGGATTGGTTGTATATTCGGTCAAAGAAAGGGAATTAAGAGTTGGAGTTCGAGGACGACTTGAGGAAGTCTTTCCATTTGTTTTGATACCATTGCTGCTCTCCATATTTGAATTAATACGTTTATTTTTGCAATTGAGTATATGTATGTCTTTTATTTGGTAGAAGTCATAAAGTTTGTTTTGTCTGCTTGGTTCGTGCCTTCGATATCGGAGCTTCTCTCCAATTAAATTTTTGCAGGGATCATTGAAATGCTGATGATATCACAACCTAGCTTTTGATTCGATGGATTGATTGTACTCGAGTAGAGGGGCAAGAAAGAGATAAAGCTTTGGATATCAACAAAATTACAGATTCACTACCAAGAAAGTACTCATAAATACTTTGGTGTCGCGAAGAAGTATTGATCAATCAATATGTCGAATAATACACCATTACCGTCGTCTTTCGATGGCGATACGTACGTACCATTAATATACAATCTTTTGCTCACAGCTAACGACCGAACAGTGATTTCTACGAAGAAAATCGATGGCAGAAATTAACCCGTCGTTTCAAAGAAGAGCCTCTCATCCCCCTAGGCAAGTCCTCCCGCCTCTGTTCGTCCCATTCCCAAACTAACACACCCCGCCCATCCCACAGGCTGTATCCTAACAACCATGGCCCTATTCGGCGCATCCCGAGCCATCCGATCCGGCGACCACAACCGCACGCAGCGCATGTTCCGCGCACGTATATATGCTCAAGGATTTACGCTCCTCTCCATGGTTGCAGGATCCATGTACTGGAACACAGATCGCAAGAAGCGCAAGGAGTTTGAGGGGGTGTTGGAGGAACAGAAAGCAAAGGAGAAGAATGAGGCTTGGATTAAGGAGTTGGAGGCGAGAGATGAGGAGGATAAAGAGATTAGGAGGGCGAGAGATGAAAGGAGGAGAAGGTCGGAAGGGAAACCCGCCGCGGCTATATCGGTAGCAAATACGACGGATTCTCCCGTGGAGGGCGAGCAGTCGAAGAAGGGTGTCATGGATCAGGTGCAGGGTATGGTGTGGGGAAAGAAGTGAGGAATGCGATATTTGGGTCATTGAAATCGAATGTATAAGGGGGGCACAGCTTTGAGATTTGGTGTTTGGTGTTATTTGGTGGTTATCGGGTATTGTGTATATCACAGGGATGGAAATGTACAAACTCCATTCATTCTTCGATACTTTCATAGGTTGGTGATCGGGACAATCACATATCCAAAGTACGTTGATTACAAGTCTACTCGTTGTTTGAAGATACCAAAACCGCGCAACACATCCCTCCAAAAGCTTGATTTTCCACGCCTTCCATGCTACATTTTATCCCAAATACTTCCATACCCAAACACCTTGTCCAGAACTCCAAGCTTAAACATCAATTCATAGAACCCCCACTCCTGTTTCCCCCAATAAGTCCTGCCATTTCCAACAACGCCCTATCAGCTTCAATATCACCCGTTCCGAGATTAATCTTCCTCCTCGCCTCCGCTTCCCTTTCTTCCCAAGCCCACATCTCCTTTTGCTTTTGAGTCTCGGCATCACCTCCACAGCCCCAAACTTCCAAACTCTCGATTTCGAACCGATCTTGGAAATCATTGCGTCTAGTTTCGCTATTGTGGAACGCTCCTCCGCCCGACGTATGATTGTGGGTAAAGACACCAAACTCAAAGGATGAGTCCAAATAAAGTGATACAGCACCGAGGTTTACGTGGGTAGAGAGCCCAGCTGTTTGCTTCGCTTTGGGGTGTGGACACCCAAATGATAAACACGGGTGGGCTGATGGAGGTTTAGAAAATGCTACATAGTCCTTATTAATTACGGAGGCATGGAAGACCTCATGAACAGGTTCGAGTTGGAATAGTAGTGTATCTGTGTCTCCAAAACACTCTTTGTGTGTTTGTCGCCACGGTTGAGAGAGGTAAATCCCAAAAACAACTCTGGATGATTTGCCACTATTGGGGAATCTTTTGGGTGGTAATGTGTCTACAAAAGTTCTTTCCTGCCCACCAGTGGGAGAATCTTCAATTCTGTTTCCGGCGACCAGAAGGATGGTTGGAGCACGCCAGTTGAATACTCTTGTTTCGAAACTGCCCATCGAAAAGCCAGCATCACCACCGGAGTAAAGTAGTCGGAGACGACGGAAGAGGGATTCTCCGGGAAGGAAAAATGAGAGCTGCGACAGGACATTAAGGTCCAGTATTTCACCTATTTGTGGAAGAAGAGGTTGGTCTATTTCAAGGTTTGAAGGTAGTGGAGGTGGCGGTTCTGATGAATCTTTTCGCTTGGTGAAGTCAATGTTCTTGGAGAACAAAAAGTGCTCGAACAGAGCGTTGAAGCCATTAAATATAAAAGGTAAGGAGATGGGTATCACAGTGTTGAATTGATGTATCTTAACGCCAGGGAATTTTTCCACATTTACAAAAGCTGCGAGAATGTTGTCCGCTGTTTTTCGAAGACTTTCTAATTGTTCGCTGGCGAGCCTTTCGGTATGGTGAGCTAAACTCTCTTGAATTCCTAATGGTGCTACCAACAGCAGCAGCATAATCAATTTTTTGAGATTGTCGGATGGGATCGTCGCTTGTGCTATGGGGGGATCTCCGTGGCGGAAAACTTCAATAGCATCAAGTGACTCGAGTGCAGCTAGAGCAAGATCATCATCTTCCTCCTCTTCCTCGTTATCATCATTCGCAGCTGCATCGATAGCAAACCCTGTGGCATGATTTTTGACCACACCCTCTCCTTCTGATAGCGGAGGAGTGGTTTCCTTCTTGTTTTCTTCATTCTCAATGCCCGCACGAGATTCCCTTCTATCGTAGACAGCCAAACTTCGAAAAAGCAGCTTGGTCCGATCCCTATTACCCTTCTTCAACACCCTCTGATATCTCTCCGTCATTATTACCACCACCATTATCATTTGTTCAAACCCCAAAACCACTGGCGCATCCTGACCAAAGGGGAATGCACCAAGGTAAGATACCATCTGAAATACAATCGGGGATGCGCCTAAAATATCCGGGATTTCCAGAAATCGTGCAATAGTATCTTCCTTAAAGTATGCGACTCCATCTTGATGATCTGCAAGATTCTTAAAGACATCTTGGAACGAATACAGTTCCAGGGGTGTAAAGCATCGTTTTGCAAATTTCCGAGCCTATGTAGGAATGAGTATAATACGTTCTCAAAAGGAAGTGGTTTGAGATCTAAAGAAGGGAGCTTCCATGAATCGCAAACTTACCAGCTCATGGCTCAACTGCTCTGTTGTAGCATGTTTATCACTGGTACCAGACTGACTTTGTCCCATCTTTATTTCTGGATCGAATACATTTGTATTCTCTTAATTTGGAGTCCGGCATGAACAATAATAAATCCAATAGGAAGAAACATTGAATGACGGAGTGCTTACGTAATATGCAGTTCCCTTAGCGGCGAAGGTGGCCGGCCTTCTTTATCTGAATAGGGTAAAAAGGCTCACCAGGGGCTCACCGGGAGCATTATTTCAATGATCCCCTGAGAGATTTTTTGGCATCCCGGTGAACCTCACCCCATATGTGTTGTAAGGTATTTCTTGAACTGTTATTTTACAGCAACCATTACAATACATAACACATCGAAAATTCTCATACCTCCGCTACTCGATTCAATCTCACAAGTGTCTGGATCAAATAGAGAGATAGATACAGTAAATGAAAATTCATGGCCAGGAATTCACAAAGGATGATATGGCTTGGGACTTTTCGTTTAATATACCGCATTATTTTCGCCGCTGTATGGAGACTCAATACTTTTTGACTAACTCCTCACAAGATTTCGATTCGAAACACCGACCATGCCATACCTTCGAACAAGATCCTTTGGGCTACCAAGACCTTGCGCAGACAGTTGGGGATAAGGGAAGACTTATTTGCATTGAGATGTGTTCTGCTCAAGTTTCTAGGCAGCCAAGTTGGCTCTGATCTCGTATTTTCATGCAGGTCTGGTTGAATTTGAATTACGGATTGTCGCTTTTTCGCTCATGAAAAAGGAAGTTCAGTATGTCAGAAGTGGACTGAACTGCTCATCGCAATCTCCATCGCTACGTTAATGAATAGTGATGTTAAGATTGCAGTTCTATTATCATTGAATCCATCGGCACTGGATATGGAAGTGCCAGAGTTTATTCTCGCCGAAGCCAGACTTATCATCGTATTGATTATGAAAGCCCAATTTCAACTGCACACTCTGTCGCTACTCCTGATAAATCAACGTCTGATTCGGATGATTATGCAGATACATGTTCAACTCCGCTTTCATATAAAATTCTAGCTTCAGATTCATGCTGATAACGAGGAAATGATGGGGTGTCAATGTTGAATCAAATTTGGAAATCATCTAGCTTTGTCTTGCCGGTCTTCAATGACCCACTGTCCCCTCACATCCAGAAGCAGGTATTGGGGCAGTACTGTAATCGGCTGTGAGGTTAAAAATTGGTTGGATAAGGGGGTAGGATCAGGTAAGCTCACTGTTAGCGATAGTTGCGAAGTGTCATATTGAGAGCCATGGACTAATATTAGTTTGATGGTTTTCGGTTTGATAGTTCTCGAAAGTATCTGGCTAACTGGGAAAGTTTTGATCCATCACAAACAACACGAATTTTGCTTGCTTCAAAATATTTGGAAAGTTTCTATCCTCGCAAACTTTGAGATGCAGATTCAGAGGAACAACAATGTCATGAACATGCGAAGACTCATGATTCTTTGGCGAAGGGACTAATAACAACGTAGACATCAAATAATCAGACTCAAGCCATGACTTACGATGACGTGGCTGGATGGACTCTGAAAATATAAATACAGCTTACAGAACAATACTACAGAGAAAGTAAAATATCATCAGAACTTTCAACAATGGACAACTCAATCCAAGAACAGCAAACCGCCAAAGTCGGAGAACTTCCGATTGAGGCTCTCGCCAATGATATAATTCAGGAAAATCAATTAGCACCAGAATCAGGGGGCTCAACAACTCCACCAGGAACACCTCCACCATCACCCAATAAGAGATCATTGGATGACGGTATTGAAGTAGAATTTGCCAGCCCGTCTGGTCCACCTCCTACAGTGCCATTGCCGCTAAATCCTCCCAAGTCGAAGACTCATAAGGAGTTATCTGATATCTTATGGAAAATCGAAGATTCAGTTGAAGAAGATAGTCATTTTTCCATTCTTTGCTAGAGATTCAATCCAAAAGGGTCATCAACGCTACTTCCTACACCTCCCTCAAAACCTCATCCACAAAGAAAGTTACGCCCTTTTTGTGTTGAGATGAATCCAAACATCGCGGTGGAATGTGCCTCATGAAATTTGGACTTGGTGCTGTACTGACAGTGACCTCTGGGTTTGGTTCGAGGAATGGGAATGAACTAGACGAGGAAGAAGCAGGCAGTATCACAACGCTTCATTAATGCTTGTGGTGCTTTGCTTTGCGTTGAGTATTTACTGATTTACCAATTGATCGGCTTAAGAATGGAAATATGAAGGCCAAAGTTTCCTCACAAAATAATGAATCGATGTTGATCACTCCGTGAACTCCCACCTGAAACTTGGCTGAAAGTGATATGCTTTCTGCACGCTCTGCATTACACGTCCACGTCAAAACGAAGTGGAACAACAATTTGACTTCCATCGCCATTAAAACCTTTCCTTCCCTGAACTACCATCATCCCAGTTCAGCTGTGTTGTTCAAAATCTTAAATCAGAGGGTGCTAGGTCGGTGGGGTCGGAGGTTTCGGACGAACTAATTGCTGCTAGCTGCTAGCTCTATCGCAGAATTGATCTACTTGACGTATCTATATCTCCGAGCGGCGAGAGCTCAAGTTTATTGGCGGGTATTGTTTAGACGAGAATATACGACCTCACGAGGTCATACTACGAGTAAGTGACAAATGTGTGACTGTGGTGTTTTAAGTTTCGGATTTGGAGATTGTATATATACATTAAAATTTGATAAAAAATCATGCATCAGACATCAGATAGTTGCTGGAGATGCTTTCGCTAAATGTACTCTAGTTCAAGAAGTTGAAATGCGTGTCTCTGAATTGGGCAACCAGAATCCCCATCGTCAAGTCATTGGGGGAAAGAACAATCGTAAGATGCATGTGCATTGATTTCCCCTTCAATTCGACGGCTCCAAGGCTCTAGTTTTGACCCTCTCTTCTAGCCGTGAGCAGATCCTCCGCAAAATCCGACATACTGTATGTACCCCACTAGAGGGTTCTCGCGGATGAATTATTTGATGTTGCACTGACGAGTTTCCCACATGGCTTGAGGGCCCTCGGCTATTTAAGATCTCTTAGCAAGCGTTAGCTTCGCTCTTTCCGCAAATAGAAGCAGAGAAATATCCCGGAAGCGCCGTAACCCAGGTATGCTTGTCTGGTAGATGTAGTTCACATATTTCAGACCTACTGAGGATTTCTTATTCTCCTTTCCCCATGAACAACACTTCTTCGATATACTATGGTCTCAATGCCAATAATAGACCTCATCTCTCGTCAAGAACACGTTCTTGGGGTTAATCGCGGTGCACAAGTGACGGGTGTCGCTTGTGCCTCTTTAGCATTGCCATGGATTGCCGTGATACTTCGATTCTATGTCAGAATTAGAATTCAGAAGTTCTTTGGACCGGAGGATTGGTTGACCGTTGCTTCTATGGTATGTTTACGCATAAGATTATAAGATATGAGGCGTGATACTGATATTATGGATCTTAGATAATATTCACTGCCCTATGTGGACTTTTGTTACGGTCACTCGCATTTGGACTCGGTGCTCATCTTTACAATATCGATGCAGATTATCTTGATAGGCTTGCTAAGGTATGAATATTTGGAATATAGTTGGATATTTGACTTATGATCTTCAGTATATATTCTCAAGTGAACTTCTTTATGTCATCACCATGGCCATCACGAAAGTTTCCATCGGGGTTTACTTCCTGAGACTTGCCAATAAACGATATCAATTTTGGATCATCTATAGCGTTATGGCTACGGCTCTTCTGGTCAGCTCGGCATACTTCATCTTCGTATTATTGCAATGTCAGCCAGTATCGTATTTCTGGAATATGTTTGACGATGGCTCGGGGTCTTGTTTGAGCACATCGGTTCGCGCCAATGTTACATATGCACACGCTGCCATGAGTGCCGTGACGGACTGGGCTTATGGTATTTTACCAATTACATTTGTCTGGAAGATAAAGATGAATCCACGCACAAAGCTATCCGTCGTTCTTATTCTATCTCTCGGATTCTTGTAAGTGAACACAAACACTGCTTGATCTTACATGTTAACTAAACAACAATAGTGCGAGCACTGCAACCCTGGTCCGTATATACTACATCCACAAACTCAACCAAACCACCGACTACACCTGGGAAGGTATCAACTTAGTAAAATGGTCCATCGTCGAACCCGCTATCGCCTTAACAGCCGCATCCTTTGCCACCCTCCGACCCCTTTTCAGTGCCCACCCCCAAAAGAAAGCCTTCAGCATCAACTCCTCCGATACATCCGCCCCTATTGGCAAAAACTCACAGGAAACACTCGCCGATTCCGAAGACGAATATTCCACACAATTTGCCGCGATGTTGGGTCTAAGCGAGAGTTTTGGCGTTCGAACATATGTGTATGCGGATAAAAAAATCGTACTCAAGGAAGATATAGAGAGACAACGACTACACATGGCATGGAGCCCCGAGGAGTTGGATGATTCGATAGAAATTAGTGTTTTGAATGCGGCGAATAGGAGGGGTGAAAGAAGCCATAGTGGTGAGAGTCACATTGATTGGGCGAGTGGGTACAGGACGACGGTTATTACTCAGACGAGTGAATGATTTGATTTGTGGAGTTACTTTAGCGGGAATATGGGATCTTGTGGGTTTTTTCATAATGTTATGATATTCAAAATTAGAAGTGGGGCTGACCTGCAATTTGATGTTAAAGCTCTGTGACTATTCATATGGTGTAGTGATGCAAATCTGACGAAAGAAATTTGACTCAACTATGTCGATGGAGACATTTACATTACAGATGTTCAGTTCATGATGGTATACCAAAACTGTGGACTGTTGACTTTGGTACACATCAGACCAAACAGATAACTACCCCAGTATAACCAAGCAAGCCTCTAGTGCCTGGAATATGTCATGTTGAATATCCGAAAGTTTGGATGATAAATTGATAATTGATGTGATACACTATACTCGAGTATGTTTATAGTAATACTCTCTATACTCGAATACTTAAGTACTTGAGTATATTAGATGAGGTTCCTTTGAATATCTATTTCAAAACTAAACATTTGATATTGTCATTAGTGACTATGATCCCATTTCCCTTCTCCCTTCTCACCAAATATTTTCTATAATACTCGGGTACTCGTACATTGCACTATACATTGATTTTATTCATCGATCAAAACCAATATAAATATAAATACTAAAACGATGGGTTTTAGTCCTTCAAGTTCGAGTACTATCCTATCAAGTGTCTTGATTTTAAGAGAATATATAGAGGATATATAGAGGATAATGAAACTTACACTTGCAATGCTAATTGATTGTCTCAAGAAATCTTACTATACGGCCATACTCGCTCCAGCAAATAAATGACCGTGGTCACGGTAAGAAGTTCTTTGAAGTCAAACTTTGGAATTTTGTATAGTCACGGCATGGGATAATAGATGCTAAGAAACATCTTGATAGCCAGAAGTGAGTACTTATATATATACACGAAAACTTGAAGCAATGATGTATTACACTGGCAAGAACGTGGTAGTGCTATACCATCTAAATATGGGTATCGTCATTGTCATCGTTATTCTATATATCATGATACTCCTGTTCTCAGTGCGCATGCACTATCACCAAAAAGCGGAATCACTCCCAACTTCTCTAACTATGCTCGCGTATCCGACCACAACCTGGACGCGGTACCTTGGATTTGAAATCTATTTTGTTCTCTTGGTTTGTATTTGTATTGCTGCATATTTCCTGATGTTGTTATTGGATTGGGTTAGTGTGTATTCTCTAAGGGACAGCTATATATATATATTCAAGTTGAGAGACTTACACACTTACACCATCTCTTTTGGGGATTTGCGGTCTTGTACTGGTGGTGGTGGTGGTGGTGGTGGTGAAGAAAGTGAAGCTGATGTATATGGTTTACCTTCGCGTCTATGCTCATACAGCCTCTTCATCTCACAATGAATAGCCTCATACCGAGACTTTTCCCGCGGTGAAGTAAATAGGTCATCGGGACCTATATCATCATCATTATCAAACTCGATATCGCCATCATATAAGGTTATAATCTTACACAAATCTTCAGCATCAGCACCAGCATCGTCGAAACAATACGGCCAATCCAATACCCTTTCTAGATATTCAAGCGGTATTCTCATCAAGATCCATATTTCTCTACGCCGTTCATATTCTCTATTTGCAGCTTCGGTTACACGAGTAATCTGATTTTGATTCTTGGCACTGTTGTCTGTGATAATCTTATCCCAGAAAATGTTAGCTCGTCGTTGAGCCCATTTTCTAATATCGGCTTCTAGTTCGATATCGATGTGCGATTCTTTGAGGGTGGTGAGTTCGGCGTCGGATAGGGATGAGTAGAATGGGTTGAGATTGTTGAGGGGGGGTTGGATGTCTTGGTATAGGTTTCTGAGATGGGGGTTGTGGAGGAAGAAGGCCATTTTTTTGGTGGTTGGGCTTGGGGGTGCACGTGGTTGAGCTGGGGCTGGATGTTGATGTTGATGTTGATGGTGAGAAATGTGGGTGGCTGGTTTGAGGATGAGAGAGAGGTCTTTTATATGTGATCATTTGATATTTCTCATGCTATATCCATTCACTCAAATGGTGAGAACACTTTGGAATATTTATTAGTTGTTTTGTTCATTGACTGTTATTGATTTCGCTTGTACTACAGAGTGAATGGAATTTGAATCGCAGCTTCTGGTAGACAGACTCGAAATCTTAATCACTATAGATATAAACGACATAAAAAGGGGTAATCTACATACAAGATAAACCCCGACCAAGAGAACTACGCTACCACTACACAACTTGAATATGGTACATCAAAGATAACGAATAGGTAAAATGCTTTGAACATTGTGTTAAGATCATTATTATGATGGCGCCGAAAATGAATCCAGAAGTGAGTTGTAAGTGTGCGGCTATATAAGAAGATATGTAAACACGGGAATGAATCACAGTAATGTGAAAGAAGTTGATTATGAATTGTAGCAATCTACACTCACACTTTCATCGCTGTTTGTAACATAATCATTGGTTCTTCTCTAAGGTCCGAGACTCAAAGATAAGGCAAACAATACCCGAATTAAACCGAGTAAATTAATAGTTCCCTCCATATATCTCATCTCATCTCTCACCTCACCTCACTTCACCATCAAACCATCCCATCTTACCACAACAACCACTCACTCACTCACACCTTCCTTCCTATCATCCCCCCTTCCTCCCCTCTTCCACCCCCTTCCTCCCCCTCTCCCCCCAAAACCAAAAACCAAATTCAATCACATCTAAGCGCATGGGAAAATCCTATTGAGAATTTTATAAGTAATCAATCAGTCTGAACCCATCGAAAAGAGGTCATGAACTGTCGTTCGTAGTCGAGTATCAAACACCTCACCCGTCCGAAGACGGTTACAATACGAGTGGAGGTGTGTACCACTGTGCCACGGGCCTATGGCGACCCGATGGGGTATTTGTGTGTGAGTGAGAGAGTGTGGTTCTTGGGGAGATTGGGTTGGGCGGTCTAGACCGTATGTTTTATTATACTTGTAATTGTATTCGGGTATGGTATGCGGTATTCATGGTCCATGGAGGAAGCTGGGACTTGGGATTATGTTGGTTGGAGATTTGATAGGTTATCCGCGGGTTACCCACGAGACCTGGTCCTGATACCCAGCGTCGCAAAGAAAAACATCCCTTATGATCACTTACAGTGATTTGTGATTTGATGGGTTATCCGCGGATAACCCACGAGACCATAACCTCACCGGTAGGGGTCTTTTTTTTTTTTTTTTTTTTACCTCACCGGGAGGTCTGGAGTACAAATGTCTGTTTGATATGGAAATAAATATGAATGATGAATCCCAGAGAGATCTGGAGGTAAGATGGTCCTCAAGATAATTATAGAATAGTTGGAATAACTGCAATAACTCAAAAACTTAAAAGTTTAGCTTCAATAATAGCTTCTTCTTCACATATGGACACAGTTAGAAAACTGGCACGAATTTCATATTTAGTGTATGGTGTAGGGTAAACAATGCTACAAAAGTGATCATGGATGAGATTGCTGTTAATAGATCAATTTGAAAATGCTATTATGTTATTTGATTGGATTGGATTGGATTGGTACATCATGAAGATATCATATTAGTTTCTTGATCATCGCTTCCTGCATCTTCGTTTTCTTCTTCATTCTCATCTTCGTTGCCTTTACGTTCCTCTGATCCTGATTCCGACTCCGATTCTGTATGTGAATCTAATACTTCATCCTCATCTTCATCACTATCACTATCACTAGTAGCAGATACCTGTTCCTGACCCCCGTATATTCCCAATTTACGTTGTTTCCTCTTCTCCTTATCAATGCCCCGCCATCCTCTATTTGCCTTCATTGGCTTTAGAAACCTATCAATGTGTACCGCTCCATCCATCTCATCGTCACTCTCAATATTAAGAACCTCGAGTTCTGATTTCGAGAGATCATGCTCTGCCAGCGCGTGTCTCAAGAGTCTGGCTGCCGTTTTGAAACCATCCTTATTTCCTTGACATTTAGTCACTGGGCAGTGATGGACTCTATGCTTTATGTGTGAAGATTCTTCGTTCTCCGCGTTCTCTGTATCGGATGCTGGATTCGATGATTCTTCTTCAGATTCATCCGAGGATGACACATGATCGTCAGATTCACCAAGATCGGGTATCATTCCGGGATAATACTCTGTAACAATATCGACTTTTCCTTTTGCGGCAGGCCCCTCAACCAAAGTCCTCATCGTCATATTTTCTTCGAACAAGTCTGCACATCTTTGCGTAGCCCTAGCAATGACACTCGGCGAGAATCCAGCCAAGGCAGCAGATCCTAGTACCTCGCTCCAATCTCTAAGTCCTAGCATATGCTTGCGTGGTTTCCCCGAGTGCTTTCTTGGGGATTTTTGAGGGGACACTGGGACAGGGGTAACTCCTCTTTTAGGTGTACTTGGCTCCATCGGTGGGGCGAAACTAGGTAGAGGTTTCTTCTGAATTCTGGCAATCCGAGTGAGATACTCATGTTGCGATTCACCTTCTAGTCTCGCATAAACCTTCTTCGGTCGTCCTCGGTGGGTTTTCTTAGCTCGCCAAAGATCCGGGCGGTCGAGGGCATTCTCATTTGGTGTGAATTCAGGACCAATTTTTGGATTGCCAGTAGACTTAAGCTTGCGAGGCCGACCTACTGCTTTTTTAACGGGTGAATCTCTATCCGTGGCATCACCAGCTATGCTGGTTGCACGCGAACGAGACTCTCCATCTGTATCAAATTCGGCTTGTGAGGCATACTGCCTGCAAGTTTTACGTGCATGATGCAAAGCCATCAAGACATCATCCAATTGCGAGAGTGTGTGTCTGACCGATGGTCGCAACAAATCTCGAGAGCGTTCGTCATCAGCTGAAACCTCGGGTCGCAGGAGAGTGGTGGTTGGAGGCGGTTCTGATGATTTTCTAATCCTTTCTACTCCATCTTGAGCATCGTCCGACGGCTCTTGCTGCGTTTCATCGTCAATTTCCTCTGCATTGCCATCTTCGACGTGTGCGTCTTGATCCTCGGCGGTTTCTCTCTCCAGAAATCTCTCTCTTGCATATTTCAAAGTAACTCCCATCAAAATATCTTCCAAATCTCTACTAAGTTTCGTAACCTCCCTTTTTCTCAATGTGAACATTTCATCTCCATCATCTGGGCCTATCTGCTCGCCCTCCCTCGGCACCTCCGTCGCTTCCATCGGCCATGCGGTCCATTTTTTAGGAGGCACAAATCCGTTCAAATCATCTCGATTTTCATCCTCATCATCACCAACATCATTCGCTTCCAATTCCCGGGCTCGCTTTTTCAACGCGAAGGAATTATACAAGTGAATGCTCAAATCCTTGTTTCGGATTTCATCCAGCGAGGCCGCCAAACCACGTTCTTCTTCCGTAATTCGTTGCCAAGTTGGAGCCGGTCCCTTCCAGCGATTTTCACGAATTGGAGAAGAACTTGTAAATGATGAGTTTGTTGGTGACGACATTGTGAAATTCAAATGTCTTGCATTTGCAGTTGTTCCTACAAAAAACCTGGTACACGTTTGGAAAGATTTCTGCCAATGCCTTGACCAGAAAAAGCTCATTTGCACTCACCGCTTCGGCAGTTAGGAAATTGTGCTTACCGCTTGCCGTATTCGATTTTACAACACCAGCGCCATTTACATACAGTAGCCGAGAGGAATTGGCAAAGTCTAAGTAATTTGTAAATTGTAAATGCATTTAATATATTCCTGACTAATTCAATACATAGGTAAGTATTTCGCAATTGAATAAAAGTATGGACGTCTTAATATATCAACACGTATATTATTCCAAGCCCGTTTTTGGACTCATTGGAAGGGTTGTCCCAATCACCTACATCATAGATAGCATGGGCTACAACTTGTTACGGCCATTCTCAGATACGGCTGTGAGAATTCGCATCTAAGTTTCGAATGTTTGTGTCATTTAACATCAGTAGAGCAGGGTTTGCCATTCAATCATCGAAAAAATAAAACGGCGAACCTTAGCAGCTCCATAGTACATCCTTAAGTGCGAGACTAGGTAAATTAGAGTCTAGACCTCTTACCTCTGTTAAGTCATTAATTTTTACCCTACATCCGCACCTCTCACACCTCAACCACCACATTTGCAAAACTCTTCTGCTCTTCCATCATTATACTCGAAGCTCACAGATTACGTGTCAAACCAACCGCGATTATGAACACCAGAAGGCGAATGTCACGACCAAGTCGATTCCTTGAGGATCTCCCCGAGGATGGCGTTATTACTAATTGGACCGTTGCAAAAAATCGACGTCGGATCATCACAGCGGAATCACGACAACCCCCTGAAAGCCGAGCCCAACCACCAAACTTTTCTGAGTCCTCAATTCGCGAAGCACGTTCACGGCACCCTTTACAAATACGAGCCCCTCCACCGCCCTCTGTGGAGTTCTCGAGTATAGTTCCTTCATCGAACCGTCCTGAGTCCCCGTCTACCTGGGACAACCCAACACCCTTTGATGATGAAAACGAAAATAGTTCGGTACCCCATCATGTTCCTGCTCCTCCGGCGCGCATCGACTCGGGCAAATATTTCAATGCACAAAGAGAATCAAGACGGCAACGCATTTCCTCTGCCATGCAAGACATCTGGCTCGAGGTCAAATCACGAATGATGGGGGATAGCAAACTGGAAAGGGAGACTAGGAAAGTGCAAGCGGCGAAAAGGCGCGATAGTCTTGCAAATACGAGGAAGATCGATGCAGGGCTGGCGAGCCAAATAAAGACTCATAGGGAGAAGCAAGAAAGGCTAAAGATTGATGCGCTAACGAAAGCAAAACAAATCGAGAGTGAGATAAAAGCAAGGGCGAAACGCAAGAGGGCCGCTGAGAAGAGGAGTAAAGAACAGGAGAAGATGGGGCGCAAAGAGGAGAAATTGCGTGAAAAAGAAGAGATGAGGACTCTTAAATGAAGCTCGACAGCAGTATCCGCACTATGATAATAGAAAAGAAGGGTTATACATCATCAATTATGAGGCAGGATACCACGTGGTGTAGGTCTTGGTTTTGATGTGCGGACCCTGGATCTCGGTCCTGGTAGTCATGAACATGTTTTGGAGATCTTGTCTTTGGGCAGTGGGTTCAGACTAGTGTCAATGATAATCTTGATCCAATTCTGATTGCTTGATGTCATTATTATATTTGCCTGATCTCCTTACCCTTCATTTCCGGTCGTTCAACCTCCCATTCGTCCCTGAGCACGGCATAGAGTAAATCCGCAACCACCAAGACACTCCAGCCAAGGCTCCATACGAGCGTGATTGCATAGAAGAAATTGGCATTTCCACTTCCAGCATAAATCCATAGGTAATAAAAAGCAGGACCTAGCAATGTTGCATACAACACAGTCGAGGAAGCCAAGAAGGTATATCGCATCAATGGAAACAAGTGGCTGTAGACCGGAAGCATTCCTAAAAATAATGAAGTATCGGATATCGATGGGTATGGCTTGAAAATCGCGAAGATCCCAAGAAGTATTGTGAGCACAAAAAGAGGCTGGCGTCTCACGCGGATGGTCAAGCCTCCAACGTATGAGGAGAGGTGTAGCCAAAATACACCGAGAAAGAATGACCTAAAGGAGTCAAACATTTCGATAAAAAAGTACCACCAAAGTCCAACATTCGGCGTAAGATCTGGAAGCAGTAGTTGGACACCATAGGTGGATGATAAGAATTCCCAAGACCCTGTGATTATGTACGACATGTGTAGAAGTGAGTATAAATACCCACTCACGGCTACCGCATTGGTCGCAATAAATAATGGTAAAGACTCTTGGCGCTTGCTAGGACGTTGGCGATCATAGCATAACAGAGCCAGAGGAGGGAACAGAAGTATGGGGTACATAGAGAGGTATGCTGCGAATGCTATGGCGAACATCGAGGTATAAGAGGCGCCAACCAATGCTTTCGAGATGGCATAGAGGATAGCACAAGTTGTAAATATGCTTGTTGGACGGCCAATACATGTTGCGATAGTGAATGGATTGAAAAGAAAAGCAGCAGCAATGGCGAAACTGGTCCACCGTTTGTCCTTTCTAGGGGATGTAAAAAGCCTCGACTTCCCTGCTTCCCCAGATTCTGCTATATTGATCAAAGCATTCGCGCTCAAAAGGTCCGCCCATATGTATAGTAAATACGTAAACGCGGGGTATATCGAAGAGCTGGGGAGGAGAGAGAAGAGGGGGAGGAACAATGGAGCCTGATGATAGACACCGCCATCGTATGGAGAAACATTGTGATTATAAAGAAAGAGACCCTCTTGTACTATGAGGAATTAGTCACTATTTCAATGCTCGCATATATGTATGTATGGTATGGGATATATACATCTCTTGAAACTTGTTACTGGCGTAGATATCTCGACCCGCGCTGTCAACAGATCTGGAAGACCCGGAAAAGATGCAAATAACAGAAGTCGAACAGCAACGGCTGTGCCAAAAAGAACAGCCTTCCTCCTATCGATACTCATTATTGACATGAGATGAGGGAACGAGGGATTGAGGGATTGAGGGATAGAGGTAGTGAGGTATGGAGGTATGGAGGTATTGAGGTATTGAGGTATTGATGTATTGAGGTACGAGTTATTGAGCAAAAGAATGAAGCTCAATTTACGTATGTTCTACCTCAATGAATTTGTATGCTTCATCAACTTCTTTTCATCTCATAATATCATCTCATTCAGTCATTTCACTCACTCACTCACTTCACTTTACTTCACTTCAACTTCTCTTCCCAATCGGTTTGTTGATGGCTCTGTTCTATTCCTGGTTTGGTCCGTGTAAGGCGGTGAGATAATCCGACCAATGAGCAAAGTTTACTTCGATTGATTAGCGGCGAGAGCTTTGGAGAAATAAAAAAAAAGTTCTCTGCTGGGAACTTTTTTATCAGCACGACCGAGACCCCCCACACTACAACATCCATTTTCATTCGGATTTCTATCGCAACAGCAGCAATGGGAAGAATTAAGAAGAAGGGAACCTCTGGTCAAGCCAAGAACTTCATTACCAGAACTCAGGCAGTCAGGAAGTTACAAATTGCGTAAGTACAATCGTCGATTGTAATGTTAATACAGATCTTTCTTCAATTCTATTCGTCGCATTGACGCCATACCTCTTCTTTTCTTCTCCATCAAAGTACTAATTCTCGGATCTTATAGTCTCCCAGACTTTCGTAAGTTATGTATCTGGAAAGGAATCTATCCTCGGGAACCGAGAAATAAAAAGAAGGCATCAAAATCCTCGACCCATTCTACCACCTTTTACTACACAAAAGACATCCAATGGCTTCTGCATGAGAAGATCGTTGATGCCTTCCGCGAGCAGAAGGCTTTAGAGAAGAAGATCTCGAAAGCTTTGGGACGGGGAGATGCCCACGATGCTGCAAGACTTGAGCGTAACGCTTCAAGACCGGAGAAGACTGGAAAGACTAAATACAGTTTGGATCACATCATTCGAGAAAGATACCCTACATTTATCGATGCGCTACGAGATCTTGACGATTGTCTGTCGATGCTCTTCTTATTTGCAAACTTACCTTCGACCTCGACTGTTCCTGCAAAGATGATTGCAAGATGTGAGAAGTTATGCTTGGAATTCGAACATTATTTAATCGTCTCAAACAGCTTGCGCAAGTCATTCTTGTCTATCAAAGGAATCTACTACCAGGCGACTATACAAGGACAGGATATTCTGTGGCTCGTACCTTATAGATTCAACCAACGAGTCACTGGAGATGTGGACTTCCGAATTATGGGTACCTTCGTTGAGTTCTACCAAACTTTATTAGGTTTTGTCAATTTCCGTCTCTATACTTCAGTTGGATTGGTATACCCACCAAAATTCGACCAAGCCAGAGATGATCAGGACGCAGGTCTAGGAGCATTCTCGTTGGAAGGAAATGGCATTGGTGCTATTGAGCAACCAAAACAAATCGCCAATGGCGATGCCTCAAAGCCTGATCCGAGACTCCAGGCAGAGATTGACAAATTGATGCTTCAACTTAATGTGCCGGAGAAGGAGGCCGAGGAGACGAAGGCTTTGGCTGATGGCGAGGAGGAAGAGCAAGCAACAGAAACCATTGATAAATTCGAGCCAGCCGCACCAGGCGGAGATATTCTTATGCAACCTTCCTATTCTGCGACAGATCCATCGACTTTGTTCTCAAAGTTTACTTTCTTCTTATCAAGAGAAACCCCTCGCCAATCTCTCGAGTTCATTCTCCGGGCATTTGGCTGCAAGCGCATTGGATGGGACGCAGTTCTCGGAGAGGGTGCATTCACTCACAATGAATCAGATCCATCAATTACCCATCAAGTAGTTGATCGCCCACCCGTGCAAGTTCAACCTGAGGAAGACGAGGAAGTTAAGGAGGACAATCAGACAGCACAGCGTTTGAGACCTGGAGCTCGAGTCCCTGGTCGGATATATATTCAGCCACAATGGATTTGGGATTGTATCAACGATGAAGAACTCAAAAGACCAGATTTGTATGTACCTGGTGCACAATTGCCTCCACATTTGAGTCCCTTTGTCAAGAAAGTACGTGGTCAGTACGATCCTTCGGCTCCTCTTGAGGAACAAGAAAGAGAGGACGAGGAGCTTGAGATGGACAGTGGTAGCGAGGATGAGGCAGATGTTTCCGACGAGGAGGTGGCCGTTCAGAAATCAGATTTCCCTACAGCTATGGATGTAGATGAGACTGCCGGAGGTATGGATATCGCTGGATCCGATGATGAATCTGATGAGGCTCCTGAAAAAGCCGATGAGTCATTCGGTGGGTTCTCCGAGGCCGAAGATAGTGAAGATGAAGATGAAGGAGAAATTGCTGCTCTTCAACGTCAACGAGAACTCGAAGCTGAGTTATCAGGTGTGGCTTTGCAAGAAAAGGTGGTTGACCCGAGAGTTAAAGCCAAGACGGACGCCAAGAAGAAGGCAGCCAAGAAGACGAAAGAAGAAGACGAGGAGTTGGAGAGATCTAAGATGATGATGAGCAGGAAAAAGAGGAAGATTCTAGAGAAGATGGTTTACAGTAATAAGAAGAAAGATGCTGAGGCAGAGGCATTAAGAGCTAAGAGGAGAAAGATTGAGAAATCTGGGAAAGCTGCCCCAAGAGAGTAAGAGAATAATGGTGGTCAATGTAGTTGAGAAAAGTATGGCGTTCATGGCTTGGACAAGGAGTTTCAATCTGCATTTGGGGGTTTATTACTGTGGTTATACCTGTGAAGATTACGAGTAGACTAGCCAATCTTTTTTTATTGCCATTAATGTTGTAAATATGATTTATGTGAGTTTACGTGAATTGTTTTATGTAATGCTACAGCATATAGGACTTCTTGATCATTTTATGCTTGTGTGTTGTGATGCTACAGTAAATGTAAAATTGTAATTAGAGTACAGAGGTACAGAGTCTCATTATGACTATTTTGGCATAGTCGGACTCTCATCAGAGCTACCGATTGGCTGTGGATAACTCTCGGCATGTGAAAGCATAATCTAGTTCATTACAACTCGATTCTACTTGTACAACTTTTAAATTCACAGCTATTGGACGACCCTTTCTTTCTATGCTATCAATTTTTCAATATGCGATAGCACTCATACTCACGACTTGGCTGCTACTGCATACAGATAGCTCGACCAAGTGAAAACCATGACATCTCATTCTACCCTCGACGCCACGACAAGAAACAGTTCCAGCACTTCCCCAATCGAACGCCGAACGACTTCAAGCACATATTCGAGTTCAAATCAACGATATAGTAATGACAGCAGTGAGACAGGTGGATCGAGTACGGCAGTCAGTAATAGGAATAGCTTTGCGACAAGTATCTTGAACAAAGAGGAAGGCGAACAACAGGGGGGGTTTGATGGGAGCATAGAGGGCAGGACTAAGAAAGATGGCAGAAGCAACCATAGGGTTCATAACAAGAGTCGAAGCGGTGGAGGCTTTCTCTTATCAAATTCCCTGTTTCATCGCAATGCGGAAAGCTCGTCCACGGCCACGGCAGAACACCTACCTCACAGTCGGGGATTACCTCACGACCTGAAAGGCAAATCGGCAGATAAGAAACAGAATAAAAGGCAGTCGCGCAGTACTACTGGAGTAGGAAGTCCCCTGGCTTCAAATGTGACCAGTGTTCCCATTACCCAAGGAACAGAAGACGAAGATACAATTAATGGAAATGCGACACCACACAGCGAGCATGGACAGGGCACAGATGCATCCGAGAAGATTGTTGCGAATGGACTTGATGTTGATTCGGCCCAGATTGTTAATCTGGCCTTGAATCTTAGTGAAAGCAGAAGAATCGCATCCAGGCGTAATGTTTCTACACCAGTACCCTCTATCGCTGCAGGCTTCAGAGATGAGATGGCGGCAGGGGGCAGTCTACGTCATCATTTACAACAGCAAAGAAGAGTGCCTAGGAATATTTCACCGAAGCCCGACAGAAGTGATAGAGCGCTCACAAGCTCTCCACGCCTTTCATCGGGTATTAAAATCAGCCCTTTACCAATAGCTGTGGATCCATCCGATACTACATATCAATACCACTTTTCTGCATCGACCTTGGCAAGAGCAGAAAAGGCTAAAAAGGCAATTGAGCTCATGGCCCAGTACCGTCGATTGTTACAATACGTTCCTCCATTGAAAGCCGAACTTGTGGAGAAGAATCAGCATGATAGTCCTGGTCCAGACTCAACTTCTGAACATCCTCGTCGTGTATTCGGGAGACACTATAATCCCCTACAGTACATAAGGAATAGAAAAGTGCGTGCTCGAGCTCGCATCTCTATTGATGGAGAGGCACAAGAATTCGGAAATGCCCACAAGGTATCATGGTGGGTTAACGAAGTCTCGAAAGCCGCTCTAAGTGATAATTTTGTCAGTGGGTACCATGTAGCACTACCACCTTTCTCAAAAGCCATAGAAGAAGGCCCATCACCACATACATCACCTCAGTCTGCCGGAAGCAAAATTCAAACAGTCTCTAAGCTGGCGAGACCAAGAATCGATTGGGTTACCGATCCTGCAGATATGCTTGCAGACATCTTCTGGATGGAACAAGGTGACAACAAGACGTTGATCGAAGATCGAGATGGGAGGCCAATTTTTCCTCGAAACATCGAGCCCAGGCAATCTATTTCACGCAGACCCGAAGATTTCGATACCCTTAAATCGCCGGATCGTTCTCATCACAAAAGGTCTAACTCCGCTGTGGACCTTCGTATTGATACTAAACTTCCAGAGTTCAGATCTTCTAAGGTTGAAACGGATAATCATTCGGAAAGTACAGCCTCCAAAGTTCGTCACAAACTGCATGACGCTGCCCATGCACAGCATGGTAGCAGTAGTGCAAGCCGCGAACGTTCTCGCTTCTTACGATCTAGGAGCAGATCTAGCTCTGATTCTTCTGACAGTGAACATATAAAAAGGTTCTCAAGACGGAGACGTAGTGGGACGAACGAAAGTCAAGACGATCACGGTAAGGATATTCTTGAAAAGCAGATGTTGGAAATGCTTGCGAAGGAATCGGGAGGTTCTAATTGGATGACACCGAATAAGATTGACAGACAGGCTTCAATTGCAGCTAATGAACCACCATCACTTCCAGTACTCAATAGTGGGGAGAAATCAGATTCAAGTATAAGTTTGCACCAAAGGAGGACAGAATCAAAGGCTATCGATAAAGATTCGCCTACTAAGAAAAGGCTTCCTTTCATATCTACTCCATCAGGACGACCAAGTCTTGAAGTGCCAGGAGTCAGTCCTCGAAACTCTTTGGATGGTCTCGACACTACTGCACCCAATTCTCCACTGGTCCGAGCCTCCAGATTGTCTAATTTCATTCCCAGTATTGGACTGGATCTCTCATCGCCGCGTAGTCGCCGGTCATCGCCAAATAGAAAACGGGCCTTATCACGGGTCAGGTCCAAGATAAATCCCTTTCGTGAACACAGCAAAGACCGTAGTGGCGGGTATGAAATCGATAATTCTCGTCTATCGATTGATTCTATCGGTTCAATTGGCTCAAGAATCGATCCTAGAGAGCGAATTCCCGATACTACAAATGGCCGTAACCGATCTGCGAGCCCTATGAAGAAACTTCTAACAAGAGGCACAGACGAGAGTGCAAAGTCTCTCAAGAAACAGACCAGTCTAAAGAGAGGTAAAGGTGATGAACTATCTGGCATTCGAGGATTGTTTAAAGGCTCTCGTGGACCAGTTGCTAGAGTTAGTGAATTTCTTTGGAAAAAGGATTGGAACAATTCTACAGCTTCGACCGATGAATCCGATATGGAAGATTATCGTACGCCGGTGCGCGAACCCGAAAGAATAATTATTCGTGATAGACAAGACTCGAGACCAGTAGATGTGGACATACCACATGAAAAATCGATACCAACTTTTATCAATGATATGCCTACATTCAAGTCGCCTATGGAAAATCGCGGAAGGTCCACACAAAGTCGCAAAACAGAAGCTGTCAACGAACCAGAACCTTCAGAGATTGAACATTCGTCCAGATCAAAAGTCGAACCTCCAAGAATTGAGATTGACGGAGTTTCACCAGCATCATCTCCAGAAGGAGGAAGCCGACGTGTTTCTGATGTATCCGATATCTCAACTCCCAAGGGGAGCTATGATCAAGGTGTTCGCAACGCGGACGCTCGACTCAATGCTGCACTCAGCTATCCTCGCCTCAAAGTAGATAGAATGCCAGTCACTGGTTTATCACACATTCAAGCCAATGAAGATAGGCGCCCGTCTCTGGACGCAGAACGTCGATGGAGTCGCTCTGATAGCGGAGTATCTGTTCATCGTGGCACTATGACAAGGCGTGACATTGCTTACGTTAAAGCTCGTCTCTATAGTTCCGGTATAAAGTCTATGTACCTTACACGTCGGGCGGCAGAACCAATAGATTTTCGTACTGCGCAGGGGAAATGCTACGAAGGTATTGCTTCCCTTACCAGTAAAGCCCTTCCCCTAGTTCCAAGATCACAGCAACATATACTAGCAGCAAATATTATTCGCGAAGACATTCAACTTTCAGCACAATTATGGCAACAATATCAAGAAAACTTCTCCATGAATACCATTCAAACCCTTCTTAACGACATGGGAACTCTACATAGTCGTCTAGTAGACAAACTAACTCCAATGGCGAGAAAGGCCGCGGATGATGCAGATGAGGTCTCGAAAGATCTGGTCACGAGTCAGATATTGGAAGTCAACAAGTTGACGGCTAGTATGGATAAGATGATAAGGAGAAGAAGAAGAAGATTGAGATGGGTGAGGAGGGGAGGGTGGGTTATGGTGGAATGGGCATTGGTTGGGGTAATGTGGTATGTTTGGTTCATGGTCGTGCTGTGTAGGGTGGTTATGGGTATTGGGCGAGGTGCGGTGGGGGTTGTGAAATGGTTGTTCTGGCTGTGAGGGATGCAGTCTGGTTCGTTGCAAGAATTAGAAAGTTATGAGGCGGCAGAGAAGAGCATCTGAAATATTAATAAACGAAGGGCGGAGGAATATAATACCTTGTATGATACGGTCCATTTCGCGGCAAATGTTTGGAAAACAAAAGGGAGCAATGGATGGATACTGGCATGGCAAGGAAAGGAAAGGAAAGGAAAGGAAAGGAAATCAAATGGAATGGAATGGATGATTGCACTTCGAATGGAAGTATTTCTTTTGTTCGGAGGAATTGGAATTGGAAAGAATTCCTTTAATTGATCAATGATACCCGATAATCTACTCAGTAGTCTAGTCTAATACAATACAATACATTTCAATATCTATCAGAAAGTATAATCAGGACATCGATGATTCCTTCTCGATGTGAAATGAAATGAAACTCATGTGGATAGAATATGAAGTATCACTACAGTACGAGTATTACTATTGGTACTCGAGCCAATTTGTTATTCAATACGATAGTACAAGCACTGGTGGTCTTTTTTGTGCAAAGACGACTGACTGACTTCTAGGAATATTTATTTGGGGTTTATATATACTGCTAGTGCAGATAAAATATATGTTTAAACTTTGAAGGAGAGATTAGGTCTGGGGTTTTTGTTTTGGTTGCTGTATTATATATGGTTACTATGAGGGGGGTTTGAGGGGTCTTCATTGGTATCGAGTGAACTTGGTTGGATATATTTTGGGCTGGATAGATGGATGGATGGATGGTTTATAAAATTATAATCTGTGGGTTTTTATGTTTTATGTTTTTTGTTTGGTTGGATGGATGGATGGATGGATGGGATCTAATTGACTATGTTGTTAGGTATACTTTGTGTGTATTTTATGGGCTTGTTTAAAATAATAGCATTACCTGGGCTATTGGTGCTTACGCTCACGGATTATTAATCATTTATTACATATTTCATAAGACTACACTACTACACAAAACATTTACATATAAAAGGAATATTCTTGAGATCAATATTAATATTACTTACTAGATACTAGAACAGATACGAGATAACTTACCCTTACCTAGCCAGAACTCCTACCTATTCATTTGCCTTCATTTTCGGCTTGCAAGAATGAAAAGTTATAAACAAAAAGGCACATGTTTTAAAATGTACACTCACCTCTCATCCATCCTCCCCAAGAATCTCATCAATTCCCACCCCTCCTCAAAACTCTCACCCCTTCCTCCCAATCATTGAGCTTGACAGCCCACTCCCTCATTCTCTCCTCTATTCCCTGTTTTCTCTTTTCCCACTGCTCCATCTCCCTCTCCACCATCTCATCCGTCTCTTCAGACTCCAAACCCATAAGTTTAGCGCACGATGCGCAAGCTGCCGGATTATAGAGTGGTTGGATGAGAAGTTGAGGACAAGAGATTCGAGGTGCAGATGTAGCTGAGCATGTGATGGAAAGAGGAGGAATTTCTCTGGGTCCGGTCGGTGACGCAGTGGGTGATTGGAGTGTTCCGCTGCGCTCAACGGTGTTGAAGCAAGCCATGGATGCGGAGCTTGAAGGCCGTGTGAGTGTCGGCCTGCGTGGTCTTGCTGTGCTAGGGGTTCCGGGCGGGGATCTAAATGCAAATTGGGAGCTGCTGGGTTGGAGGGGTGATGGTGGGGGTGAGGGTTGGCAGGATGTGCAGAGCGGTGAGTGGTGGATGGTTACTGTGGTGACGTGGCCGCAGAAATGGTGGAATGTTTCTGTTGCGCGGCAGCTGGTGAGAGGGTTGGGTAACTCGCCTGGAGGAAGGATGCTGAAGGTTGGGGTTGTCATCTTGGCTTGGGTTGGTGTCTGCTGGGCGTTTGTTTTCGGGTATCCTTTCTGGGTATGAGGATGTAAAAGGGAGATGGGTTAGAGTAACATTTATGCTTCGGATTTGAGTTGTTTGGGGAAGAGAGGGTGGAACTATAGCATTGTTCGGGCAGCTTTGGGAAAACGAATAGATTTGGGGAGAACAAGGAAAAACATGGCATTGTTTTGTCTTAGCATTGTTCTCACAAAGGACGGGATTCTCGACTTGATGCATGGAAGAAAACCTTGTATTCTCTTTATCAAATCACTGTCTCTTCTCAAACATCGAGGTAGAAATCAAAATAATATGCTAAGATATAGATGTGAACAGACTCTGACACAAAAGCTACCTAGGTATACGATACCCCTTCGCCATTTAGAATCGACCTGAAAACCGTCTTACTTACGCTCTCAAAATTATTTACACACAAACCGAAACCCCACATTGGTCCTGGTACCAATATCATGATCAATTACAGTATCCAGAACAGGACATAAAGACTGTACTATATATCATTCTACACTTGGCTGCACAACATGAAGCTTATAAATTGTTTAACTCATATAGACTACAGTAATGTATGAAAGAAATATGAATCATGAAACATGACTCGATCTTTCCAACTACCGATACTTGAAAACATTGAATTTCGCTCCAATCAAGGCTTGTGTAAGATGACATCTGGTTTTCAAATACACAGTGTCATTTGACTAGTAGCCCCTATATAACCGAGAAAATGTAAGATTACGATCCCATGTAATACCAGCCTTGTGCGTGGAATTGTCACGGTGTCAAATAAGTTGATAACTACCAACGACACATGCTCTAAATACTACTCGTATAAGATAGACAAATCACGATAGCTTTCAAGCCACTGGATCAGTCTGCCCTCTTAATATACTCGAGTGTAATTTATATATCTCAGTAAAAAACGACTCATAGATCACTCGCCAAAAACCACGATTATATGAAAACATCACTGTCATACCATTGTCACTGTTACACACATGTTTATTTTATTTTACAAAGGAATTTTTTTATTTTTTTGTCGCTCCCACTTGGGAACGTTTGTTTACTTGGCAAGGAAATTAACCGTGACTAGGAAAATGAATATAAGAAAGGTGATTCTTTAAAGAAATTCTTGCGAAACAGATTCTAGGAAACAAGACTGTAAAAAAGGTAACTCCAAAAGCCATCTATTTATCTATTACGCCTTAAGAAAGCACTGATGATAAAGGAAATATGTTCTTTCGACTTACCTGAGTGTCTCTCAATCTCCTATTTCAATTTCGATTCCTATTCCTATTCCTTCAGCACCCGAACTTAGTAGTACCTCCTCTCGGACTCCCGACCATAATATCTTCTCTCATCCTCCGCTCTCTGGTTTAGACGATTTCTCAAACGCTCTTCTAGTCCATTGAATCTCTCCTCTATTCTGTCTTCCAGATCTCTCATTCTTTCTCTTTCTCGTTCTCGTCCCGCAAGTCGCTCTCTCAATCTCTCTCTCTGGTAACTCTCCTCTTCCATCTTGCGTAATTCTTCGCGTCGCTTTCGGGCTTCGCTCAAATAGGAAGTGGAGGAGGCGGAAGATTCGTATCGAGATGTGGGATATGGTGCGCCGCGTGCGGGTGGAGGCGAGGGAGATCGGGTTTGGCGGCCGCTGTAGTGTTGATCTTGGGATGGATAAGGAACATGTGGTCTGCGATACTCCTCTCCCGATGGATAAGGAGCTGTGGGTCTTCGATATTCTTCTCTCGCCGAAGAGCGCTCTTCTCTCGATGGATAAGAAGCAGTGGGTCTGCGATACTCTCCTCTCCTAGAAGGAGAAGGGCATCTCGGTGGTGCGCGACCATAATTCTCTTCTCTAGATGCATAAGTCGATGCCTGAGGGGGGTAACGGGATCTTGAGTGGAACTCAGGTTCTCCTCGAGAGTCTTCTCTCGGTCTGTTTTTGTACCTATTATGTTCTTGATAGTCGTCAAAATCCGATAAATGCTCCCATTCATCCTGCTCAAACTCCGACTCCGATTCAGCGTCCGATTCCGCGTCAAGAGCAGCTAGCTTGTAGAATAGTTCCGGACTGATTCTTCGCTCGTCAAGAGATGGAGGTGGCTTTTTGCGGTTGTCGGTTTTGTAGACCGGGGCTTTGGTTTTTCGGAGACATGATGGTGATGATGATGGTTATTAGTTTTGTTGACTAATACTTCTGTCGAAATAGAAACTGGAAATGTTGTGTTGTTCTTGTTGTTTGACGAAATATGATGATGATGAGCTGTAGAAGAATGGTACAGCAGGAGATTATTGAAAACTAATATACTTGAGATTATCGTCTGTTTGGGTGTTACTTTGTTACTAATAATGAAAATCGGAATAGAGGGAATTAAGAATTTGTAGTTTAATAAAGGATTGTGAAAGGTAGAGAAATAAAGAATAGATATGGAAAGAACAAAGAAAAACCAGAGGCTCTGTTCATCCATAGATTACTCGAATTCTGAACTAGTATACCCACTCGGTCAGTCTGTAAGTATCGTATACTAATAAAGTATAGAATGGATATTAATTATACTTTATACCAAAACTCAAACCTCCATCCAGCAAATCATATGTATCACCCTTCCTTCCATACCTTCCATCATCATACCTTCAAACATCTCAACCCCATAATCCCATCAAACTCTCTCCCCCACAACCCCAGCCCGACTTCCATTCGTAATCCCCCCACTTCTCCTCCTCAACCTATTTCCCGCCCTTTCCCTAAACCCACTATTTGTGAAATCCTCCATCCCCTGCTCTTTAATTGCCCTATTCTGCTCCATATCCTTCTGATCTCCAAAACCCCCCGCAATAGCCGAATTGACACTCCCTCTCAATGCTTCCCCAGCTCCATGCATTCCCCGTGCAGCATTCGCAATACTTTCTCGCTTACCTCCTGGACGAGAGAAATTGACGTTGTGTTTTGTGGGACTGTGTGGTGTTTGTTGTTTGTTGATTGGTATTCGTGAGGGATCTGTGGTAGTTGGGTTGGATGTCAGGTTCTGGTTGTGGGTGTCATGGTTGGTCTGGAAATGGTTTTGGGGGTTGACAGGATTTGTGGTGCTGCTAGTGGTATTTGCAGGATTGGGGGATTTCGCATCGATGGTATGGTCTATCAATAGAGGGGGAACAGGCTTGGAGTTTCGGAGTGGTGAACGTTCGGGAATCACACGGCCTCCACCAGTGCTAGTTCTTCGGAGTGAAGGTTCGGTTTCTAAAGGTAATGGCTTCGGGACATGCTGAGAAGTTTCGATAGCTGGAATAGGTGGTTCATTCGATGGGTAAGTGGTTGAGGAAGCCGGTGGAGGATCGATTGAAGGGTCATATGGATGGGTTTGAGTATGAGTTGTACCATCATTGTGGACTATTGTTGTGGCTTGTTCATGTCAGATCTTCTTCAACCAATAGATAGGCCTAATTTCAGATACATACTGGTAGTAGTTGTAGTTGTAGTGGTCGTCGTAGTTCCAGGATTGTGGTTTGCATTTTGATTAACCCGAGTGTCTGCGCTCGAGATATTGCTACTTCTGAAAGAATCATTATTGTGATTGTTCCGAGTCAAGAATCGATTTTCTTCATCTGAGGAAATTGGTGGTGCCACTGCAGATGGTTCAAGGCGAGTTTTGTCTTTACTTTTGAACAAACCCATTGTGATAGTCGAGAATGGTGAGCTAGAAAATGTGATTTTGATAGATAGTAGAAAACGTAGATCAAATGAATGTTTTTCCAAATACTCAAAGTTTTAGTAAAAGTCGTGAAGGGTATGTATAACTTAAGCTCATGAGTTTCTCCTGACGTAACTATGCATCAGAATCTCAAAGCAGGATATAGCTGTCGATCACTACTATACTGAGAGAGATAGTGGGGGTGATTCAGGTGACTGCGCCACAAACATCAAATCTCCAAATGTATGTGGCTTTACTCGAGTAGCTATTGTTATAAACAGGAAATATAAATAAGGGTTTTTCATTTTTGCATCATTTAATCAGGTTATAAAATGCTATCAACTGCGAATGATTTAATATATGCACGATTAGCCCAGTAGTTCTTTGGTTGAGTAGGTCACGGTCAACATGCCAAATGCTTACATAAGGTTACATAACATAAACTCTTGATTAGACAAAAACTCGACCCACCACTCCTTCCTGCTGCCCCCTTTGCATAAGCGAATACTGCAAGATATCCGATTTTGGAACCTACCTCTGTCTTTATCTTTAAGTATAATTAATGTATGTACTCCCAATTTACGAATCGAACTTGCGATAATTCTCGTCATTGTAATCTTACAATTCGGCAAACTCAAGACTCCTTCCTCACGAAAGAAAGATCTTGGTGACTTCACGTTTTGAATATATCAAATATTATCCATCTTTTCCTCTTCTGAGGCCCCCCTTTTTCACAAGCAACTTGTGCATTTCCTTTTTAATGTGCAACTCATACGCTTCACCACATATCGATAAACTCTTTGTGCCTCTCAATCCTCGCTGCCATTGGATTGTGGACATCGTAATCATCATTTTTTTCAGATTTCTGGCATCATCTCATCAAAATCAAATCTCACAATTAACTATTAACTGTTACACCCATGATACTTTTATCTAATCGAGTACCGGTATATATCTCAAAACATACTCGAGTAGAATGCATCAACTACATACATATACAAGTGTTTCATTACAAGTGGTTCTACGAGTATTAATATACCACCAACCAACATATCAACATACCAACACGATTTTCGTTCCTCGATCATCGATCCATATACATAAACACCCATCTCTCCAAAAATAAACCACAAATGCAACTTACAAATGCAAACAGACCAGACCAGACCCAAAGGAAATAATAAATAAATACTCCTACGAAAAAGCATCAAATCAACCATAACCATAACCATATTACAAGACACTGAATATTCCACCCAGTACTCCACCCAGCAAATAATTTCCTGGCATCCTCACTCTCATCCTCAACATCTTCATCCTCATGAGACTTAATGTTCATAAAACTCAAACTCACAAAGCTCCCGACATCATTGGTTCCATAGCCAATGGCGTAGGCCTACTCCCTCTCCTCTTCGATCTACTCTCTCTTCTCCCACCCCCACCCCCTACACTCGAACTTCTACTTCTTTTCCTCGCGCCCCTCCCTATTCTCAATGCCAAACCCCCATCACCCGCACCTATCCCACCCACCCCACCAATCCCCCCTTCTCCAACTCCCCCTCTCTGATCCTGCAAAACCCTCAACTCCTCCATCTCCCTCGCCTCCAATTCCCCCGCCCACTTCACCCTCTCCTCCCTCGACATATTCTGCCATTTTTTCCCACCCGCCAACATCTCCAACGCTTTAATTTTTTCATTCTCCTTTTCCCACTTCCGATGATCTCGTACTCGTCTCGCTTCATAATTATCTCGATAGTATTCGGTGAGGTTGGGAAGGCCCGGCGTGGCTTGCGCGGCGGTAATGGCTCGTTGACGGAGGATTTCGAGGGGGATACTGCGGGGGGTGATTGAAGAGGGGATGGAGGGGAGTGCGTAGTGGTCTATGAGTGGTGGAGGCGCGGGTGTGGGGAGGAGTTTGGAGAGCAAGGTGCGTGGTTGAGGTGGGGGGTTGAATTCGGGGACTGTGGGGGAGGGAAGTTAGTCTAGTTTTAATTGACGACGAAAATGCAATTCTCAAATTAAGAAAAAGGGCAAGCATACCATCTTTCAAATCCTCCTGTATCCTCCAACTCAAATAAGCCTGCTGATAAGGCGTCTCCCCGAATGGGAAATTAGGCAGTCCACCCGCTATATGTTTCGGCTCCTTCGGTTTCCTCAGCTCTTCCAATTTCTTCTGCTCCAACGTTTTCGTCGGGACAATTTTCGGCTTAACCTTCTCCTGCACCACGGGTCCACTATCCTTAATAACCTGTTGACCCGCGAGACTCTGTTCGCAAGGAGGCCATCTGCGCATACTAAAATGTTGGCGCGGCTGATAATACTCCGTAAAGGTGCGACCTGCGACGATAGTTTTCACAGGATTGTCAAGACGATCCCGAGCGAATCCCCAGACATCTTCGCGGATGGGGAAGCGCGATTCCCAGTTGTTGTTTAGTTCTTCGATGACTTGGGTTTGGATCATGAGGGCGGCGTATTTGGTGCGGGTTTGGAGGGGCACGGCGGGATCGAGTAAGGTTTCGGGGTTGAGACCGTAGGAGGTGAAGATGTCAGGGGCGACTTTGTGGAGATCGGATGCGAGGCGGATTAGGGTTATGTTGTTTGGATTGGGGGTGGCGGGAGGAACGTTGGGTTCCCCGGGATAGAGGGGTTTGCCTTCGGAACGGAGGAGTGTTCGTTGGTAACTTCTGTTAACGATATCGAGACGGAGCTCTCGCGTGTAGTGAGTTTCGTCCAATGTGAGTTCCTCGGTGTGCATAGCGATTGCTCTACCGAATTTGAAGGAGGCCTTTTCGATAAATCTGTAGAGATTGGGTTGGATGATTGGAGGCCCCGTAAAGCGAGCCGCGTTGTATTGAACAGTGAAGACATTGTTTTCTTCCTGTATTCCATATGTGTGATACGCCTCCCTTCGGGTTTCCACATATTTCATCTCGGGACGACCTGTAAGTGCGACCCTTGCTATGAGATCATGCGTTCCTGTTTGATCTGCACCCGCCTGTATTTCCCTTTCTCCAACTGGTTCAAAACTGCAACCGATTAGCTTTTACAATATCAAATAAATGGAATGAAAACATACTGTATGTGGTGATATCTATGCATTGTCTCAAGATGAGCTCTCGCAGTGGCCACGTCCCATGCAGGTAAATTTAGACTATGTCGACGATCGTTAATAATTTGAAGAAGGTCTCTCAAGGATATAGAAGTGGCCGAATGAACATCAGGATCATATCGAGAAATCAAGCGAAGATCCCTCTGCGATGCTGGCCAATTTTGCGCAGAGCTTTGTGGGAGCTCTGGGGGCTGTCCTGACGTCCAGTATGGAGGCTTATTAGCCTCTGGTAGCTCTGCAATATCTCTTTCGAATTCATCAAGAAGCTGTCTGGGCATGTCTTCCTTCTCATTTGCAACCTTAGGATATGGCAACCAATGCCAGTTCCAAGTTGGTTCACTTAATTCCCGGAGAACACCAAGTTCTTGCTGCATCAGTTTGATCTCCATACCATTTGCTTCTTCGTAAAGAAGATCGACCACTCGACCAGGCTCAAAATTGACACCTCTCTGAATACGCGAAAGAACTGCTGTGAGGAATGGTCGCGGAAAAACGTTAGATGCATGTAACAAAGCGTTCCAGGTAGGAATCAAGCTCCCCAAATATTTAGCTGCGACATCTTGGTATTCGAACATGGTTGGAATCGTGAAAGGACCGTTATAATTAGCCGGTGGTGCAACTTGACCTGGGAAAAGTTTAATGATCTTATCACGAGCATCATACCAATCATCATCTTTCCAACGCTGGTATGCGGCCAAAACTTTGGTGTAATATTTCGTGTCCAATTCCACAGGTCGTTTGGTGGGTTCAAGTTCCATTGAAATTGGAACTTCTGGTGGAGGTGGCTCCCATGGTGGTGGATGTACAAGTCGACGGAATCGATCATCTGGACGACGTTGCTCATAGTTCGACGCTAGCAAATTCAAAGCCATTTCAATAGCCGCTCGCTGAATACCCCTTCTCTCAGCCTTGGACTGAAAGTTTAGAGTACCCGTGTCGTAACGAGAAGTCTTTTCCGGATAGCCTAGGATAAACTTTTGCCAATTTTGCCCTCGATTGCGATGAAGACCAGTGTCAAGATTTGGCACAAGAGACAAAGGATCAACTTTTGTAGGATGAATGGTCATTGGTGAAGGTGGCTCAGTGGCAAGGTAGAAGACTCCAGGACGATTGTCGGTATCTACATCTGTGCCAACAAAATCCACACTTTGTAATACCGTGATTGTTTTGTCCTTGAGCCTCCTCTTAGCCGCGCCCTTGACCCCCATCATGACTCGTCTCTCTTCATTGTCAAGCTTTTGGTTGAGAAGATCCCGTTCCACTAGCAAACTGCCTTTCACATTAAAATCATCTCCATATGCTGCTATTTGTGCTTCAATATCAGCTACCTCTTGTCTCATCTGTTGCATTTTCGGATGGCCCAGTAATTTCGCAAACTTTCTTCTCTTCTCTAGACTCCATCCTCCAGCATTAGAGGGAGCTCCCACATCACCGTAGTCGGGAAGACCTCGGTTCAGTTCTGCGTTGAGAGCATTTAACGAATCTAGGTCCAACTTTTGATGAGTCTGATATAGAACAGATGGATCTCGCTGTCTGAATTGGGGAGCTTTCTTCTCAGCTATATCTGGTGCACCTGGTGAAGATGCTAGATCGGCTGGTATAGTTTCTGTTAACAAAGCTTGGGCTTCCTCTCTTTGATAACTTCTTATCTCGATTCCAACTCCTTCAAATCCCGCTAGCCAAGGGTCAAAAATCTCAGAAAATGCGGCAAGAGCAGGTTTTCGGACTCGTTCATCATCACTGAGCGTTTGATCATACATCCGACGAAGTCTGGGATAAAAGAACGGAGCCAAATTTTGTCGAAGTACCGCCATTCTGTCGGGTGGCAGTTGACCTCCTGATTCATCTTTCTGTTTCAAAAGTCGGTGAATTCTTAGTACTTGCTGTTCCAGTTCCGGAGAAAGCTTGGGTTTTGGAGTGACCCAAGGGACATAAAAGATATACGGTTGCATAAAATCGGGCGTCATCTTGTGTCTCTTTGCGTCTGTTCTTAAAGCACCCCTCTGTAATGGTAATAACACAATCCATGGCTCATCATGCTCCAGAGTGGTCTCTTCACGTCGAAGATCAGGATTTTTCTCATAAAGTGTATCCCAGAGATCCCGTAGTCTTTGGATATACGGACGGATCACTTCTCTCTCCCCCGAATCAATGGAATTGAGCCAGACCGACTTCTCTTGTGCCGAGAATGCTTTATCCCAAAGCAAAGGAATATGCCTCGTTTTGAAATGTGCCCAATGTTGTCCTACTTCGCCGAACATATCAGGCTCCACAGGAGCAAGTATCTCGGCCATTCTTCCCAGTATGAACCAATCGCAATTTTGCGGGCCACCATCATCACGACATTCTTTCAAAAGGCCAATAAGCTCGTTCTGCATGTCATGCACCTCCCGCAATCGCTCGCCATATTCCCTAGGAATATTGATCTTGCTAGGGTCGTATAGGTCTGTCTTGACCATATCTGGCTCATCAAAATAGAACTGTAGTGGGGGGGTAGTTTTGGCGGAGAGATGTTCCAACAGCTGATCCTGTAAATCGTTGTATTTCTTCCAATCATCTTTGACAGCTCTGTATTCCTCATCCGTCATATCACCTCGTCTTTGCCCCGTGGAATATACATTAGCATTACGCTCAAGCGCCTTGGCTTCTGGTGTCGGGAACAATCTTAGAACGGCCTTCAAGACTGCGACTCTCCAGTCTTTCGCATGACGCTGATCTCCACGACCAAGGGTACTAACTTTTTCTCTGTACAACTTCAAATAGTTCCGAATGATATCCTGGTATCCGCTGATAACGTCTGGTAAAACGTTATGCGTTGGTTCTGGCTTAACTTGCTCTTTTGGGGTGACTCCTAGAACCTGGCTATTCCCATACCAAGGATCGTCGCTACTTTGCTTCTTTCCAGTATCGGGGAGACCACGGATAGGGTCCGTCCAAAGAGGAATCAATGTTGGAGTTTCCTTAGCTTCATTGTATGCTCGGTTTTCAATTTTGAAGAGATTACGATTTTCTTCCTCTTCCGTGAATTCCGTCAGATTTTTCTTGGCGTCGGCCTTGATAGCCCTGAGAAATATTTCGTGATCCTTGGTACGCGTTATCGTGAAAGGAGGGCAATCTTCGCGGACTTGTGTCTGCGTACCATTGATTTCCTTCGTCTCGCGAATAGCAAGAGTCACTTCATTCGACATGAGCCTCGTGCTATAAGGCTGGATCTGAGGAGAATCTACACATAGGGGATCGCCGAGTGCTGTCTGATCCATACGATTATGCCAATCTGCTTGTATATCTGTCATTACCTTTGCATCCTTGAAGAGTTTCCAGTCTCGTGGAAGGTCATGTTTCTCAACATGAGCGAGGTAATCTTGTATTTGGCTGAGCTTGTCTTTGAAATCCAAGCATCGGTTCGCATCTTCGTCAGCAAGAAAAATCTTGATTTGTTCAAGCCGCTCGTTAACCGGCGGCTGGTCATATCCTCTAAATGTAGTTGCTGGATCAGGGGGCTGTACAGCAGGCGCTTTGTCAGTCAAGAACTTAGGGATTTTCAACTGTCTAGGCGGTTTGACTGGAGGTGGCTTCGCAGCTTCTTCGCCGTGTTTAGCTGGGGTTTCTTCATGTTGAGTTTCTTCTTGATCCTTCCCTAGATATCCATTACTGGGAGGGAATTAGACTGTATGCTTTCTTTATGATATATTAGAATCGACCTACTTTTTTGCCGACATCTTGACGAATATTCGCGTCAATCTCTGATTCCACTTCTTTTCTCAAATTCGACGATACTGACTGGCCGTGATCCGACAAGAAGGATGGTAGCTGTGGATTTTCGGTATGCTACTGAGAATTGAATCAAAGTCTTGTTTGAGATGTTCTTTGTGAAAGCTTTTACTGCCACCGGTTATCGATTTTTCTTTCAGATAAGATAGCTAAAGCTGCCATTTGCATGTAAGTAAGCTTCTCGAAAGAAATATGTCTTAGAACAACCGACACATTCCACACAATAAAACAATAGGGAATACCATAGCGGGGTAAGCTTTTGCACGTACCTCAATAAACGATGCTTGGTAGGAGTCTTGAATGATTGAAAACTATCAGAAATCGTTATGTACTAAGAGTATGGTTACTCACCAAGATTTATACCATAATCCAAACGAAGATTTCATTTCGCGGCCTTAGTCGGGCGGAGACTCTATAACGAAGAGACTCTTCGAAAAAAATCCTTCCAGATGATTGATTCTTTGTCAAGCATATTCGCTAGGTTCTGCAAACGGAGGAACTTCAATCTCAGACTTCTTTATCAATTATCATATCCCTCCCCTTCTCAAGTACTGCCATAGATTCTCTTTCGAGACTTCTTTATGTAGTTGTCTCTTTGTCGCGATGATAGAATGAAATCTTTGAGGCCTTGTTTGTCTAACTCATCTAAACCAGCCAGGCTTGAATTGAATTGAGCTCTTCAACGAGCAGAATAAATTGTAAAGATTAGGCTTCACGGAATTTTTGGAATTCTACAGCAAATGCCTGCAGCGAGAAGTGTTCACGTGCCTGAAATTGATGAAATTAAGGGGCCACGGAGTATCAAAAATGAAGATACTGCATAAGATGAGTAAATTGACAAACATTGAGATATCAAGAAAACATACGACTTAGCAGTTGTAGGTAGCAAGTGCTCAAACCACATGAGTCGAAAGTAGAAGAAGCGTTTTCAGACCTAAACTTAGGCTATTATCAAGGAATATACCAATTTGGTACCCTTTCATTCTATATCTCAAAACATAACTACCCTCAATATCCATCTGAAACTCTCCTCTGAATCCTGAAGTCCATATTCATCAAAAGAGGAAGCTAGTTATTACCCCTTCACCTTTCCATGACGACCTTCATCAACCGAAGACCATGTCATCAAGCTGATGATCATCCATGCAGAAATCACGATATATGTCAGTCATGCTCTATGGATGCCTGTCGTGTGTTTTGTGTCACAATCCAGCTGAGCTCGCAAGATCCTGTCAATCCTTCACAAAGAGCACCTACCCAGTTGACAGACCCCAATATTGAACATTGTACCACTGAGTAACTTCCAATACATGCATGAGACCTTCCCGACAATCTCAAAATGAGATGCAAACTTTCCTCGTCGGGAATGCAGATTGTTTGTCCCACTCGAAACTTCCAGATAAAACAGCGAGCAATCAATTGTAAAATAGAAAGTATTGTTTGCGATGCACTTCTCGGAATGGCGAGTATTCTCAAGAATCAAGATACCATTTTATTATCTCGAGCCGAAGTATCCATCCATTTCATTATGTATCGTACCTTTACCTTTAAGCAAAATATCAAGCACTTGCCCAATACCTATACATACATCACAATAAGCCCTTCTATCCCACCACCTGTCCTACCCTTTCGCAAACAATCTCTATAACCCCTGAGAAAGCTGCAAGTGCCCGAGATCTACCCCTCTTCCGCCATACTTCGTACCTACAATTTCGTTGATTCAACCCCATCCTGCCACATAATCTTTGCCTGTCCTATCGATCAAAGTAATGGAGAAAAGGAAGGATGCATAAAATGAGATGTCGTGGTTGATTTGTCCCATCTTTGTACATCATTGCACACTAAGCAATTCTAGACCAAATTAAAAAAAAGCAAGGAATTCAACAGCCCCAAAAATGGAATAGCGTCTTGGTGAGTTCCATCCAACTGTCGGTCTCATGAGAAGAAGGAAAATCTATAATGAGTAGAGCATATGCATCATGCACATGACATTGCATAGACCCCGAAAATCCCAATTTCCTCCTATTTCTGCCTCAATCTCAATCTCAATAACTGAGATGGGTAATAAATTAGAATGGACGATTGACAGCACATCAATCAATCAAATCAAATCAATCAAATAAATCTCACTCACATATTACTCACACACTCACCTCACTTCACTCTATTACAGTAACCTGCGCATATCATATAATGAATCACATCACACACAAGCACTCACACCAATATTCTAGAAGCCAGAACGCAAAGCTTCCATGCCCTTCATAATTTTGTTTGACCTGCACGACGCCCGAGAGACCAGGATGAAGATCTTCCGGTTCCGAGAGACGGGGTTTTAGATTTTTCTGAGGCAGGTGACGGGGTTATGTACGAAATTATGATTACGAACAGAGGGTTGGCTAGCACTTATAAAGCTTAAGTGCGCATATACTATGCGAAAAGGTGTGTGTGTACTGTGCTCAGTGCTGGGTTGAAATTGAAATGTTTGTGATTCGGATATTTGATACTTATAAGGAACGCGAGGGATCGGATGTTGTGTCAATTTTGCTGTGTTAAACTTGGTCGTGCTTTTTATGTTCGAGTAGTATTGTAATATACAAGCTTTGACTCCGGCCCCTCGGTGCCGGAAAAACAGTTCGCCTCGCTGCGCTCTCCGAATCGTTTTTCAGGGCACCTCAGGTCCTACGTCGCAGCTCTTCCTCCGGAGGCCTATTGAATATTATATCTTCAGATTTTGTTTTATCGATTGATATAAGAAGTGTACTAATATTGAAGACTAAATATAGTATTGCACGTGAATTTTCAAAAAAAAAAAAAGTTCGTTGTCGTGCACTGACCATACGTATTTTAAGAGTGTTTTATAATATGAAAGGTTAGATATCGATACTGTTTTACTCGTAGGGTCTATTTCTATTTTATAAGAGAACAGATGTAAAGAGTTGGTAACTTGTATACTCAGTATTGGATTGAGGTGAAGTGTATCAATTGAGAAGCATAGGAGTATACCGGTAGTATACTCGTAATAGTATGATGATATCAATATCCGAGTAGGCCGTAAGATTCTTGGTGTCAGTGTAGGTAGGATGATGCATTTGCATTTGCATCGCGAGGCGGGATAATTATGTGCTAATAAGATGGGATGGAATGAGAGGTACGTGAATTGCGCGTTGTGAGGAAAGTGGTTGTGGCAGTGATTATCGAATGATCCAATCAGAGATTCTAATTGAGTATTTATGTAATCTTTCAGCCACAGCCACCACTTTCTTTTAGATAATTCGAAAAAGGGGATGAATCATGAATGACTTCTAGTCATATCCAACCCAACCCTCACTCCACCCACAGAAGAAGCAAAACCAAACCCAAAACATACACCTTCCATTTCCAGTACGGTACATTGCCACCCACCTAGCCTTATCCCCTTCTTCCACATCCTTAATCCCATAGCAACCCCTCCTAGCCTTACAAAGCCACCCATCCATCCAACCATTCATCCATCCATTCATTCCCATCCATAGATTCCGGACCAAGACAACAACACTACGCTGATACTACGCCGACTACACCGAGCCGCGTTATTGGCATCCTCTCACCCTATCCTATCCCATCCTATCCCATTATATCATATCCTATCCTATATCCCTCCAAGATTACACTTTCGGGATTTAACATAAATTGCATGATCCCTAGTACATACATATGTACATATACATGTACCCAATACTCATCTCACACCGATGCTCATCTGCATCCATCTTGTGAATTATCAATATGAAGTAAAATAAAGTAAAGTAGGTAACCAACGAGTAGAGATTAACCGCGTGTAAGATTCGCGACGAGGCTTTTTTTCGTGTCCAGATTTTTCGCGATTTCATATCTTCTGTCGTGTTTATTACAGTAATGTAATTAGATCTAGATAGTATGTAGTACTCATTACTCATTATATCGAATCATCATAAATCTTGTATCATATATCTATATCCAGCTATTTATCAGTGAGTGCCAAACAATCCATCCGCACATGTCCGTCTATTCGTACGCTCAGTTATCTAGGTACCTAGGGATGAAGATGAAGATGGAGATCTCGGGTATTCTCAAGGGTATACCTAGGTACATATGTATATCTGGTAATACTACAAGTACTACATTTATGATTCTGGCACCGGAACAGTAAAGGAAACAAGATCCTAGGACAACTACGAAAGTTTTTGGCACAGTAACAGAAGGAGGAGCGGGATATAGATCTACATATGATGTATTTGTGACGATGGCGAGACTCACGTTCAACGTTCTATTAATTGATGTCCAAGAGCCGGAAGCACTTCTAGATTTCACTTCAGCTTTTCATCTACAGTATAGCATAGCATATCCAAGTGTTTCCCCGCCCTGTGTTTCCCTGTGTTTCCCCGCCCAGCTACAGTATTTGTACAAGTATAGTGGAATCATAGAATTACATGGCAGTATAATTACAGAGTGCAGTACTCATACAGTACTTGCTTGTAATAATAAATAATAAACCAACTATACGATAACGAATATACATACAAATATCGAGTACTACATACTACTGTACATCTAATCTAATCTAGAAACCATCAATGGAACCTCTATCATTATCCAAACACAAAAAATCAAAGATATAAAATGCATACCTACGGTACTCGAGTAGATTACCCCGCATAAATACTATACTATACCATACCATATCATAACCCATACATACCATAGCATAACGATACCGTATATCGTACCGCACCGCACCAATAAACCATATCCATATACAATATCTAGTATCTATCTGCTCCTCAGGATTCAGCAGAGCTCCTCAGCGGAGTTCTTCACCAAGCGGAGCCCACCCATCCATATCCATATCCATATCCATCCACTCGAAGAAATTTTAAAAATCTCTTCAATACCAATACCAACACACAATAATGTCATATATACATGTACATACGCCCCCCCCCGCGTCCCCATCCCCTTAAAAACGTACAGTATGTACTGTACAGCACAAATACTCAACTTGAATGCGAACAGAACAGAACACAGCCGAGAATACGATACTCGAGTAGTATCCGCTTGATTACCTAGGTATTGATGTGATGTGATGCGAATGCGATGCGATGCCGAAGAAGAGAAGGGGGAGGGGGAAGGGCGTGGGTTGCTCGGATATTATGATAATACAGCATTTAAGGGGATATGATGTCTAGTATTATTTGGTGGTGAGTTTTGGTGGTGAGTTTTGGTGGTGAGTTTTGGTATGAGTATTGGGTTTGGGTTTGGGTTTTGAATACAGTATAGTACTACTAAGATTACGAGTACATATAGTAAAGAAAGGTCCATGTAAATAAATACTACTGTATAGTACTATACTGTACTATAAAATATATAAAAGCATTTATGTAAGTCAAAGTCAAAGAGTCAAAGTCCAGGTTCGGGGTCAGGGTAAGTAAGGGTCAGGGTCAGGGTTATATCGTCCATCGCGTACTCCATACTTTAGTCTCTAAGGTTAGGAAGGAATCAACCCGTTTTTGTACTCAGCGTGGCGTGGCGCGGCGCGGTGTCGCGTGAGTACGTGAGTACGCGAGAGGAGAGAAGTGAGAAGTGAGAAATGAGAGGTGAGATTAGTATTGGCTTAACCACCCTCGAGCTTGTTAGCAACTAGTTCTAGGGTTTACGAATTACGAACTACGAATTGTTGCTGGTACTAAGGGATTGCTTTCATAGTGATGGATTGATTTTTGATAATAAAATTGACCACGGAAAGGTCTGGTCTAGTCTGGTCTGGTCTGGTCTGGGGAAATCATTGAGCGCGATTGAATAACTGTAGATCTTTTGAACCCTTTATATATTTTTCACTCTTACGAGTAGTGGTATAAGGTCATGATGAAATTCCAAGAATAATTGAGGTGAGAAGGTAAAGAAAGGGAAGGTACGTAAAGGTACGTAAAGGTACGAGGCCTAGATAGATGTATCAGTAATCGATAATAATCCAGATACAAATAGATACAGGTAGTAGTGGTGGTGATATAGATACTATAACGCGAATATGATACAATGAATAGGTAATCGATTATATCATATCAAACGGAGATCTAACGAACGGGTGGTTTGGTTTGGTTTGGTCTGGTTTGCATTAAAGCTGGAGTCTAGAGACAAGGAGGAAGGAAGGGTTTCGCTAGTACCTACGGAGTACTGTACCTACCTATGTATCTCCGAAACTTACACACATAAGAGGATTAGTATCAATTTGTATACCTAGGAGTTGCACCTGAGTATCGAAAGGTTAGCCCCTTCGTCCTTCTCTTGAAACGCGCGGGTGAACACTTGAATTGGTTGGAATGGTTTTTGGTACAAGAGATGCAAGATGATCATGGTCTGGGCGAGATTTGGTTCTTATTGTCACATTGTGATGCTTTAGTTAATATGTATGTACATACGGAGTATACGGAGTATACGGTAGTTAGTTCGTCAGTCCATTTCATCCAATAATCAGTATCTTCAGCTCTTCATTGCAAACATCTAGGGATAGGAATAGGAATAGGAGAAGAGGTGCATACGGAGGTACATATATATATGAATTGACAATAGGCCAATTAGAATGACTTGAATAGACTTGATGGGTATTGTCCTGGTAGTTTGATATGATGTGGTTGACATGGGTTGATGCATGTATGCAGCAAATATCCTCACTGCTCGGGCGTTGTCAATCAAGGATATCTGAATGGTTAGATTTCAGTAGAAGTATTGAAATGAATATGAGAGGTGTAAAATTGAGCGTGTGTGCTTGCATACAGCAATGAAAGTCTGTAAAATTTGTATAGCGAGGGTCAATCGATAACATTGTAATGACCGACGATGAGCTCATGCCAGTGATTACGTTTTTGTCTTTCACGCGTTTTAGCGTTGATGGACGGGGTAAGATAACCCAACCCGTAGCTTAAGAGGACCAAGGCCAATTTGAGTTTGTAAGATATTCATGTGGAGAGAAGAGAATACATAGCGATAGCGGTACGTGAATGGGTCAAGCACCAATTAGATGATTATAAACGCGACTTATTTTATTGTTAGAGCAAACTTAAACTAACTTGAACTCATTACTTGTTTGAATTTTGGAAACCTTTCTGTCCTATTTATGAATCTATAATGATTGTGCAAGTGCTAAATGTATATATACTAGGTATTTCCAAGCTTTTACTATTCCCAAGAAGCATAAGCTCAGATCCACAAGTAACCTTACCTTCATTAGGAATAATTGAAGATTGATATATCCATCAACACACCAATCATATCAACGAAACACCAGAATCTTACATACTTCCGCGTCGCCTCGCTCTCTCATCAAGGATCATAAATGAATGGATACAAGCCAACAGGGAAGAGCGCGTTCAATAGAACAAATCCACAAACCAAACCGTAACGCCGACTAGGGATTTTTCATCTGATATTTACTGCCTTAGATCTCAGGTATCAATAATATCGTAATAACCGTAACCGTAATAATAATTCCCGCTACTGTGCTAATTTACAGATTTACTGCCAGCCACCGCTTCTCGATCTGTCTCTCTTTCCTCAACACTTGCTCTCTACCTAGCTAGTACTTCTTAACTTCTCTTCTTTGCCCATGCCCAGCCGGCTACTTGGATTACTTCTCTAGATTCTTCTCTTAATACTAGTTATAATTATCCCTCTTAAACCAAAGAAGGAAAGGAAATTTCTTATATAAATAAATAAATTGCCCGACCACCAGACCACCAACACGACCCATCATCATCCATCAAGACCCATTACCACCCAGACTCACTTCACTCACTCACTTTAACACCTGCAAAACAAACCAAACTCAATCCATCCATCACCCCCCCCCCTTCCTCCCATGTCAAAAAGCAAATAATCTCTAATAAACTATTCCTATTTTGGTATAGAGAAGACCCAATTTATTTCATTTCCAAGTGTCCACTACTTTCTTACTTTCTTACCTCTTAACCTTTCTCGAGATCCATTCGATCCATTCTTTCACATTTTGAACTACACAAACCTCCCCTCTTCTTCCTCTTCTTCTCTCTCTAAATTTCTTCTCTCTTTTTCCTCTCCTCCGAAAAGACCCTCATTCATATACCAATCAATGGAATCAAAGAGGTCATTGGCTAATTGACACCTTGTTATGTTGAAGCTCGAAGAAAGTTGAAAAAAATCAGGCACGAATTTTGGTGGAAAGATTGCTAGATTGCTAGATTGCATCTTCATATCTATCTACACAACAAAATTCATATCTGAACTTTCCTCCGACTGTCCATAGCTGTCAATTTCTACACAAGGAAAAAGAAAAGAAATCACACATATTCACTCCCCCCTCCCCACCCCCCTCCTTCAATCTTCGTCTCAATCATCACGAAGATTATTCTTTTCTGCATAGAATTTGAGGACATCCCATTGTCTAATCATTCAATTCAGCATCGAAACCACCCTCCTCCTACCTACCCCCCATTCTCTCTCAATCACTTCATTCGAATCAATTCTCGACTCAAACCCTCTTCCTTATCATCCGACAACTCTACTCGGAACCAACCCAAACCAAATTCAAACCAAAAAAAAAACAAAAGAATTCGTGTTCTTTCTGCCGAAAAGTTTCGAATCCTTCTTTTCAACAATTCTACCATTCCGAATACCTCGAATTATTTGATTCTCGACACTATTAGGTTTTGAAGTAATATCTTTCAATAATCTTCAAGCGGCATCTATTTCCGTGGTCAATCTCAATCTCGTCAACCTCTTTATGAAAAAGGAGTTTAAGATTTGACTCCACAATTGAGAGCCAAGATACTCGACAATTCCAAGGTAAGCTTGAACCCCGAACTTTATGCAAACGTTTCCCAATCTCATGATTTAAGAAGGCATTGACTGACATTTAACTCTTGATTCCCCTTACTTAGTGAGCATTTTACATGCCAACTGTCACCCATCTCATCTTGAACATTCTTCCACAAAGCTCTACGTTCCTCCTCTATCCGATACTCGGCACGCAATTACACAAAACATTTCAAGCAAGATAGTCAAAGATCGGAGACGTTTACTCGTTAATCCTGTCTTGACAACTCCCCGGAGAATATCTTACACATCTTCTACGGCATTATCCTCAATATCTTCCACCAAGAAGGGATCTACCTGGGTGAGTCTCGAATATCCAAATTTACACTTCCAAATTCCCCCCTTCCACCAACACCACCATCAGCTTCACACGTTCTTGATGGACCAAAATACAACATTCCCCTTCTCCACCTTTACATGATTGAGGCTTCTCCCTTTTCAAGATCTACTCCCAAGTCCGGTTGAAAGTCTCGCTAATTCCATAATTCACCAGAATTTTCTCCGACATCTTATAAAGTGATATTCACCCTGCCACCTCACGATATCATCTTTGGAAAGGTTCAGCTTTGCATTTTTCGCCATCTTGTTTTTTCGGACACCGTTCATTTTCGAACTATAGTTCCGCCCACACTCTCTAATAAACTTAATTTTACACTAAAGTATCGTTCTATTGAACTATACAGCACATTCCTTTAAACGCAACAATTCAGCAATCCAGTGCCTACCGAAAGCCACTTTCAGGTCGAAGCTCCTGGAGAACTTGACGTCCATTCTTTCCCTTCTACCACCACAATAACCACGACTTCGAATCACTTTCAACACCTTTCAACATGTCGTACAGTCAACCTTGTGACACGTTCTTCGTGGAGGATAATACTTTCCAACAACCAAAACAACAGCAACCTCGACCAAACTCTCAAGAACATATCAAGATGATGGGTCGACGGAGACAAGAAGCGATGGCCAATGAATTATCTAGACAAGCCTGTGATGCTTACATGGATGATATAGTTGATCACATGGCATCCATGGAGGTCAATCATCCTGACTTCTATTAACTCTCATGTAACCTCGTGCTAATATTTTCCATAGGAAGCGACCATGCCAGACGTTGCCTCGATAGAAATTCAACAAGAGATTCAATGGTTTATGCGACCTTATCTCATCGACTTCCTGATCGAAGCTCATTGTGCCTTCCAACTTCTTCCAGAGACACTCCACCTTACCGTCAATCTTCTCGACAGATATTGTTCGCGCCGAGTAGTCTATAAGAGGCATTACCAGTTGGTTGGATGTGCTGCACTCCTCATCGCTGCCAAATATGGAGATAAGAAGGAACGGGTGCCCATGATTAGAGAACTCAAGTCAATGTGCTGCTCGTTATATGATGAGGAGATGTTCACGCAAATGGAATGGCACGTGTTAAACACCTTGGAGTGGATGGTAGGTCACCCTACCGTTGATAGCTGGCTTCAATTGGCATTGTTGGAAGGGCCTGAGTATGAAGACATGACCGTTGAGCACATGTCTTGGTATATCTGCGAGATGGCTTTATACCACAAAGAATTTGTCTCGGTCAAACCTTCAGCCATGGCCCGTGCATCACTGGCACTTTCTCGAGATATTCTTGGATGTCCCGAGATGGATACTTATGGACAGGTCGATTCCGAGTTGATGTTGAGTCTTTCTCGACAGCTCAACCAACCATCATCGGTCCTCGCCCGAAAATATGCTGCCCCACACCTCTCTAGAGTCTCCGAAGTTCTTCGACGATTCCTTCTTCAACAAGCAGCTATGAGCCAATGTCACGTTACTCCGCCAACTCCCCCTACTGAGCCTGCAGCTGCCCAGAAGCCAATGCAACAACACGATGTCTACAGCACACCGCAGAAGGTATATGGACAACATGTTATCAATGGGTACCTCACACCACCAATTACCCCCGAAGGAGAATATTTTGTGGCAGGGAATGGAAATGAAATGAAATCTTATCAAACCTCAGCACCTAGATGTCCAATCACACCGACTCCTCAAGCTCAGATGCAATATGGTCAACAACAATATCAGCAACAATCATATCATCAAGATACCGTGATGCAATAATTGCGGGAAAACTCCCTGGATTTGTTCGAATCATCCTCGTCCTGCCATCATCTACGCCTTGATCTCGGACATCATATCACACAGCATCTCACATGTACCACAATTTGTATTGATTGTGCCGAATTCATCGGTCATTTCATCGGCATCCGATCACAAGCCCAATTCTTTGGACTTCATCGTTTCTGTGTTCGGCATCAGCGCGTTTCATCGACCTAATTGATTTTTCAGCAAAAAAACATCTGGCATTAGCGAGTCGTCGGTTTTCATTTCATCTTCAAAAGATTCATCTTGTTGTTCTAGCGTTTCTTTCTTACAACAAACACACATACACACACACACACACACACACCGCTCTTCAGCAACCAAATTTTCCTTCTTTCCTTTGTTTCTTTTCGGGGCGCAATCTACCTTTGATAGTAATTAAAGAGGAAGAAAATGTGACTGGAGAAGAAAAAAAATTATTGGAAGGAATGGAGTTGGTAATCTGAGGCGTGTATCACATTTTCTTTGTTTCTGCGGGAAGTTTTTAGTTCTCTTCATACCCTTCTTGCACAGTACATTCAGATCGAAATCGGGTCACAGATCATTAAAATTTGGGGCACGAAAGAGATGATGAATGCATTCATTACTTACTTACATTCTTTCCTTGTTTGAAAGATGATATGCTTTCGTAATGGATGATGTGGATAGATTACTATGAGGATCTATGGTGATGGAAGGGTGGGGAAAATTCTTCCATCATATCTTAATAGAGACTGATTGATGGGGAATTTGGTGAACGCTTATTTTCGGGGTGGTCTTTGTTTGGTAGGATGGTTGGCATGCAGGTTGGATGGAGATACCCAAGATCAGATCAGAATAAGAATGGTTTGCTTGCTTTCTGCAATGAGAATGGAGGTTGCATGCATACTTGATATCCGGGATATTGGTGAGTTGTGGTGAGGATTGTGAGGAGATGTTGGGGGTTGGACATCGGTTAGGATAGATAGCATGGATGGATGGATATAAGATAAAATGGATAATAAGATACCTGATACCTGATCATCTTTATGCTGTGTCTATGTTGATTGTGACTTGGAGTATGTTTGATTGGGCTTGTAGGTAATGTTGTTAATGTTGAAGATGACTTGTGACTTAGAGTTGGAACTTTTTGATTTAGCATTGGTGGATAGAGTCAGTTCACTTATTCACTACATTACACATCTATCTTACTTGCTAAGAAACCAAGATCAAATGAAGATCAAGATCTGATTGATAAAGATTCCTTCCTTATACTTGATATCTTCATTGATATCTTCATTAATGAAGTAGGAGTAGGGGTAGATTAAGAAGCAGAAGAAGAAGATTTATCAGGGATACGTTACTTTGTTTGGCTGGTTGATTGGTTGGTTAGTTGGTCTGATTGGGTATATTCGCTTATGTGGTGAGTGGTGAGTGGTGAGTGGTGTTGGAGGGTTTTAGTGAGTGGAGGGATTGGTGTTGTAAGGCAGTGGTGAGTGGTGAGGGATTTGATGAGTGGTGAGTGGTATTGGAGGGTTTTGGTGAGTGGAGGGATTGGTGAGTAGTGAGTGATGAGTGGAGTGATTGAGTTTCCTTTAGGGGAATTATTTAAGGTGGTTTTTAGGTGGTTTTTGGAGGGAATGGGTAGGTAGGGGGAGGGGGGAGGTGGGAGGGGAAGGGAAGGGAAGAAATTAGGAGAGGATAGGAGGGGAGAGGGGATGAGGATGAATTTGAAGAGTTGGATGGATAGATGGATGGATGTGTATGAGGATTGTATATCGGTATGGGATATGGGATGTTGATATTGATACTGTGGTTGTGATTATGATTGTTTTATTGGATCAGTTGTTGGTTAGGATCGGGATTGGGATTGGGTTGAGTGAGTGGGTGGAGCAGGTAGAGCAGGTGGAATAGGGTGAAGGAGGGTAAAGTATGGTGAGCTGGGTGAGGTGAGGAGGATAACAATGAGGTAGAGTGCGGAGGCGGAGGTGGAAACTTGAAAGTTGGAACTTGGAACTTGGAAGGGATCAAGGGGACTAGGGGGATTAGAGTGAGGATCGATGGATCGATTGGAGCAGGTGAATATAGTTCTGGGGAGGTGAGTAGAATCACTAGAGTGGTAGACCGTAGGAGATATGTAGGAGGTAAGAAGGTAAGAAGTGAGATGGAGATGGAGATAGATAAAGAGATAGGAATGGGAATGGGAATGGGAATGGCGTGCTGGATGTTGAAGTTGGAGTTGGGGATTGAGAGGGGTAGTATATCTGGTCATATAGCACGTGTTATACTAGTATGTATTTTTCTATTTAGTATATGCCTGCACTTCCCTTAATATATTGTCATTGAAGTACTGAGTACATGGTATGAAAGAGTATCATGATGATATGTAGACCGTGACATATTGGAAAGAAGCTCGAATGAGCGAATATTCAAAAATAAGGAAGTAGCGAATCTTGTATTTATTGTGATATGCTGGCATGAGATATATTCTTTTCATAGACTAAGGTCAAACCAGACATTCCTTACGAGTCGATATACCGGGGGAGTGAAAACACCTTTTCGTCTGTCAAGATGCCAATAGATATAGTTAGATAAAATGAATGAAGGGGTTATTCTGTCAATATACAACATTAGCAGTCACTTGAATATTTCACATTATTGTTGCTCTCCACTCAAATAGGTTCTTGGAGGTACAAAAACCGGTTTCAGTTATATTGTATTATATTTTCATACTCTGTAATTCATTCTACAGTAAGCAGGGACTTTACCATGGTTTGTGTTCCTATTTCTGTTTATACCTCATTTGTGTGATGATTGTATGTTTAAATATAGGCATAAATAGAAATTAGAATAGGAATAGGAATAAGGAACCTCTTCCTCCTCTCCCAATCAATATTCAACATTCACAAATCCGCACCAGAAAAGAATCCAGCAAGCACAAGCACAAGGGAAATAAACAAATACAGTAAATAATCTCACCTCTCACCCACCTCTCACTCACCCATCACCTACCTCACCCATCACATAACCCAACATCTCCTTCTCCTCGCACTTCCCCCCCTCATGTTCCCCCTCGCAATACAAGTGGTGCATCGTCTTCTGGCCTCCCGATCTACACGATGATAGCGCGGACAATTTTCCGGAATACATCTTGTGCTTCGTTGATGGGAGCAGCGACGAAAGCGTCGTTCGTAGTGTGGGCAGGTGAAGTCGAGGATTATGCTTTTGCACATTTTTGGGGTGCGGGGTTTGGGGTGCTGTGGGTTTGGTTTGTGAGTTGGTGTATGTGTATGTCTGAAGGATTGGACTCGGTTATTGGGGTGTGTGTGTTAGGTTTGTTCAGGGTATGCAGAGAAAAGATAACAAAGGGGGGGTCAAAAATAGGGGAATTTTCTTATATACGGTGATGAATAGCTATTGTTTCGGTATTATTCTTGTTTCAAAAATCAGGTCAAAATTATTTCCTATCTGAAGAATCGAATGGAATAGAACAATTATAGAACAACTTTGATCTCGATGCCTGTCTTGTGGATAGACTTTCCTTTTCCGCCGGAAAAGCTTGGAGTACTTATCATTGGAGCGATGCTAGGAGTGAGCGGACCAGAAGATCAAGTAGTCTACCATCTGATTGCAGACATTTGTGGAATTTATCTCTTTCCTCCGTAGACATATATTGCACATTTGTAGGGATCAAAGAAATCGAAGAAACTTGAGCACGAAACCTGGTGATTTAATGACAGAAAGTATGAACGAAGACGATGAAGAAGTGTAGGATAGTATGGAGAATTCAGGAGGAAACGCAGAGAGCTCTGCCCTGGGTTTCTGAACAGGCCATTTATGAGGGGAGGACTCGCCGTATTGCGGCTAGCCAGACTAAGAGTCATTGAAACACTTGCTAATTCGTTCGTTGGAAGGTAGTGGCCTTGAAATGAATCAAAGGTGAGAAGAAGTAGAGACTATATCATGTTCCTTGATCTACAGAATCGCAATGAACCTCATCGTCGTCGAGTGATTACAGATTGATATATCCTGGAATGGAGAAAAGCTTCTTCGAGTACTTCTAACACCAAGCTTAAGACATCAATGCAGAATAAATAACAACAAATCTGTCCAAGTATCTTTGACTCAAAACACGCACACCGGGTATTTCGCTTTCAGTTCAAACTTCCTCTTTCTAATTCATCCACCCCAAACCTCCAACCCATCTCCTCCCATTCATATCGCTTCCTGCACAACTCAAACATTTCCTTTCCATTCCCAAATTACTTACAGCACACGAATGACAAACTTGCTTCCCACAAATCGTACATGCATGGTTTCCCTCGCCAGCTCCATACATATCAATATCCATCATAGTATCTACATCCATTCCATCATTCCCTTCTCTATTCGCTAATGACGCATCACAATCTTCGCAATTGGTCGGTAGGAGATGAGGATGTGTAATTGTTTTGGGGGAGACGGATGTAGATGATGCATAAGAGGAATCGCTACCGGGGGAAATTTGACGGGTTGATGGTAATTGCCAGAAGGAGTGGAGCGATGCTTGGTGTGCGTGTGGGGTATTGTTTGATGGATGCGGTATTATTGTATGAGGAGAAATTGCAGAAGGCGAGGGCGGCGGCATACAGGTTGTGTTTATATTTAGAGGCCGTTGTGCGGAGTAGAGCAGGGAGAGAGTATGTTCTGTGGAATTGATTAATATCTGAAGCGCAAACAGAAAATTGTTGGAATCGGATAACATACGATGAACAGTCTCTTCATTTGGTCGATTATCTCTATGACGTTTTCTCGTACGTGAGGAGAAAAGATTTGGTGATGCGATTGATGGGGAATCGATGTGCATAGAATTGGAATTGTTGGAGTAGAGGGGACTAGAGAGGAGGGATGAACTGGTGGAGATTTCGGATTCAGAACGCTTGCGCTTGAGATACATTGTGGTTGTTGGTGTGGTGGACTAATTGGTGGTATAGCTGGGAGCTTGATATTATAGGTGATGAAACGTAATGATATATTGAGCGAGGACAGAAGGGTTGATGTTGGATTGATGAAAGGATTGATGGGGCTGGAACGCGAGATTCCGCAGGAGTGAAACCACTTTACGCGAGGGGAGGCACGCTAACTTGATTTAGACGACGCGGATCGTATGTGTACAGAATGCTTGATTTTGTGTTTGACATTGACCTTCACTTCAAACATAATTGCTTAATCAAATCTCATTCCTGTCTGTGTCTTTTGTCTTGTCTTGACTATATTTGTACATGATTGATACGCTCTTTTTATATTGTTTCATCATGAAGCCTTTATGAGGCGACTGCCCTCTCTTGATAGCTCTTCAGGAACCCCAAACTTACGGACTATAAATAGCTACACTCTGCGGTGCTCATTCAAGTTGATTTACTGTATCAAAATCTTTGAGAGTCTGTGTGAATGCAGCAATCTCTCGAACAAGAACCTGCACAGGAAACTTATGAAGTTCTTGTGGAATATAATGGCCACCCACTCACACATCAAGTAAGGTTCTTCAAAGAGTGATTTTTGCCTTCGATGGTCATGAATTCGACATGCCGGCATGCTATGCTTGATTTAGGTATCTAATGTCATTCTTTCAATTTATATCTCAAGCTACAATGACTAGCCCAAGGAAACACGACGTCTCGATCAACGAGTCGGTGAAATTTCCTATCATCCACCACATAAACTACACGATTTCATTAAGACTAGTTCCAAACGCTTGCTTCTTCGTCCTCATTTCTTACTCCATGCCCTTCATAACGTCATCTTCCCGACCCCAACTAAATACTCGCGGCAACATACGAAATATTGGCGGTGATCGAGTCCTAGGATGATTCACGATCTCTCGATCGAGAATATAATGATATTCGTTAGTGCTCTCTCCTGACCACACAGCCTCAGCTCTAATAATCGTTTCCTCGTCAACAATATCAAGGAACAGGTTGTCAGATCCCATCCTCATTCCTCTGGTGGTGTCCGCGAGACGATGGACCAGATGATCGTACATTACGGGCATGATCTCCGTATCACCACGACAAACTTGCATCACAACATGGTTGGCTGGTCGTGTCTCTAGCTCCCTAAATCCGTTATAGTCAAAGTACTCTCGGGCTTCCTTCTTCATTTTGGTCCACTTCCCAACGTATCCGCCCCCAGTGGAGTCAGGATACTCAATGCAGATCATGCGGACGGAATTTACTAGGCCATTCAATTTAGTCCTATTGCCTTTGCTGGACATAAGTTCGAGTAGTTGGAGATCTCGATAGAGTCTGGGGTAGATATTGAAGTGGTGAGAGAGCGCCTCGAAATCGCTTCGTAAATCCCACCAAACTTGCATAATTTCATCGGATTCAAGAATCATCCCAAGTGATAAGCCATTGTCTCCAACCATACTGAACACCTGATCTCCTAGGACTTGAACATCGAACATGTATGTCGTATTCAAAGACTTTATGGTCATTGAGAACATACTGATGCCTCCATCTCTCGATAATCCGTTTCCGTTACCCTTGCAACCACAGAAAAGTTCAGGGACATGTTTTCGAAGGTTTGAGAGGACGGGGAGGAATTCGTTCATTTCAGGAATGGAGTCGATGAAAATCATTGGCATGTCTGGAAGTATTAGTCGTCTATTACCAGGCTAGTTTGAGATGACAGATCACACAGATTGTTGCGCGATTCTCAAGATTCATCTCATTTTTGTAACGAACGTCAAAATCACTTACCATCCTCTGTGGGAGCAACATCCACGGGTGTTACATATTCCCAGGCTCTCGCAGTCTCGTTGATGGGTCTTTCTATCAGTGGCTTCCAATTGTTCTTCTTGAAATAAAATCCACCAACTGCCTTATTCGACAGCCAGTCATCCAGGCCCCGGCCCATGAATGCTTCGCTTTCATCCCTCATGGCTCTTGATAGGCCACAAATGTTTGACTTCACACCCGAGCGAGATAACAATTCCAATAGCTGCACATCGCGGACTTTCCCAATCTGAATACCAAATTTGTGGAAGAGGGTATCCCAATCACTACGAACATCCCACCAGAGCTGGATCCTATCCTGCGACTCTAGAACCTTTTTGAGAGACAGGCCATCATCATTCTGACGCTCAAAGGTCACTGCCTTGAGTTGCCAGACATCAAAGATGCAGGTTTTGTTCATTGAGGCTATGGTCATCGACAGAAATGATATGTCTCCGTCACGACCAAAGCCTCCCGTCACCTTTCCATCACTATCAACAATTTCCGGGGTACCCTCGCAATCAAATGCAAGCTCGACTCCATTCTTGAGCCGAGAGAGGGTGGGCAAGAATGCATCCAGCTTCTCGATTGTGTCGATCATAATTGTTGTCTTGGGCTCTACCGCTGGTTCTAGGGTTAGCATGTTTTTTCAATTTAATAGAATCAAAACATTAGCCAGAAGATACACACCTTCCACATTATCAGAGACCCAACCTGATGATTCCTGTAGTGTATCGATGTCGGGCCATGCGATTGCGCTGTCTAATTGAGGCCAGGGGTCGTCTTCGTCGGGAGTAATAGACGTCCAGTTACTTTCGGACAATTCATCGTTCCACTCCTCGCCAATATCCCCGTCCTCTGAGGTCCACTCGTCTTCATCATCGCTTAGAGTCCCCCAGTGATCCGACCATGAATCTCCCCACTCATCTTCAGCATCGTATTCTGTTGACTCCTAAATTAAACTATATCAGTATGCAAGTAAACTATGAATGCGAAGTAGAGTCGTACCAATGTTGAGCTGTTGTTTAGCTCGTTTTCAGATGTGTAGTCGATGATGATAGGATTCTTGACAGAATACTGTGAATCTTCTGAGTCGAAAGATTCGTTGTCGAGTACGTAGTTGACGACAGACATCTTTTCAGGATAGTGCGAATCTTCTAGGACACGGGATTCGCTTTTGGGCGTGTATTTATCGATGTTAGACATCGTAGAAGTGTTGTAGATATACTGGAATATCATAATTAGTTTTCATGCCACTGCATGGACGTGTAGAAGAAATTAATGTTGATGCTCAGCATGTCAAGATGGAGAGGCCTATAGCACAGCAGGTGTAATACTCCGCTAGAGACAAGACTTACTGAAAGACTTAATGTTGGTGATGTGATGATCAATTTCTGTAAATGTCGGATCTAGGATGATAGAAGTTCAAGTTGGGTAATATAAGATTGTTTTTGAATAAAATTATCAGAATTAGATTGTTGTAAGAATCAGAACTGGTGTTGAATCGTTGGAGAATCAAGCTCTTATAACTCATTGGAATCAAAAATGGTACAGCCATGTACTAGATCTAGCTTGGTGTACTAAGTTGTTAGTCATTGCTCTATAAATACGCCGTATAATGGCGTGAATCAGCCAATTAAATGATGCTAGCTTTGCTGTACCATCCAATTCTCAGAGAAAGCGTGAAAAGTAATGCCCATGTATGAGTACCTGACAAGAATATGTCTTAGCACGGCTCGCATAGTTAGAAAATCAAGGAAGTGGCGCTAATTACTGATATATAGTACGGTGTTAGGGATCAATATGGCAGGTGCGACTCATAATAATGAGAGCGCCCTTCTTCACACCTACAATCTGAATCCTTCAACGGTTGAAGTAACTTATATATCTACGGTGCAGTACTAGCGATTAACTGCATAGTATCGGACACCTTGGATTTCTTCAGCCGAGGAGGGAGATCGTACGCATGCACTATATTCTGGCACATTTTCCTAGCTACTACCTCTACCACCCGAAAATTCGAGCTGCTTTGAACCATGAACGGTCTACCATATCACGATGAATAGGATTTGAACATAGTGGTAGCACGAACGCATGAGAAAGAGAGGAATACAACGTAATTTGGTATGTATTACTAGTATGGTGATATTCGTTTGCTAACTTTAGCGCTCTACTAGTACATCCATTGTCCTGCCCAGATGTCGTCGATTATAGCTAGTTGGATTTTTGAGAGCTTTGAGGCGTTATTCACAAGTAGCCAGACTCAAGAGCTTGGAATTACGAGCAAAATATACCGTCTCGTGTTACTCAAAAACAGAGTCTTTCCTCACGAATCTCAAGTTATTCGTCTGCGGAAAATGTTTTGATAATTTCTGCATAGTAAATATCTTCCACTTCATCTCCTCTGTGTGATCGACCGGTACAGAGCAAGGTAGTTATAGGTGGATGAGCCTCTTGTTGTGCAAATCCGAATCGTTTCTAGTGTAGAGTCTTCGATCTTCGTCTTCTACTCGTTAGCTATAAGTCAGTGTAGGCAGTAGTTAACCTGTTCAACTAGTTAGTTGGTTGAGTGGGTCAAATCTAAACAACCAGGTTATTTGATTTGTCGATCCCAAACTAACAATTGGTTTAGTTTGACAAATCCAAACTAGTAATTGAATGGGATCAAACAGATAAACTAGATAATCTTCATTTTTGATAGAAAGGCACTATCAAAACTCAGATAAGCTTAGTCCTGATAGAGAATCAGGTTTCGGTAAATAAAACTTAATTTTATACTTTCATTAGCTGATTCTAAAGTGGATCATAGGCTTTCATTGGCTTGCTTCGAAGTGGAGTACTAGAAAAGTTGGATATTATAGATTCCGTTCCCAATAACAGCCGTGATCAAGGTTTATTGAGCGAAACCTTATTCCCTATTAGGACTAAGATTATTCTAAATTGTTGAGTTTTGACGTACCGTAAACTTTTCAAGAATTCGGATACGTTAAGCAGGGATTCTTTCTCTTGATATAAGGATAACTCGATCAAATCCTACACATTTCGACTTAAAGTAGTATAGTTGCCGATTAGATACTTCTTTATATATAGAGATTCTAGACTAAGACCGCCGAGGCCGTATAAGTTACAGAGACTTTCAAGCCCTATCGATATCGCAGCCGAGCTTGACTACGACGCGAGAAACCGAGCTCCGCTCCCTTCCGGGTTTGATCTTTGAATTAAGATAAGGTCGTGAATGAATTCTTGAATAGTGATTTAATTCACATGAATGTTCTTTGCCCGTGGACCAATCGGATAAATTTCCGATCTCAACATTCACCATTGTTAGATTGCTGCGATTAGATGATTAACGAAATTTTTATTGTGCCATGATGTCATATAGTGAGTACTTCATCTCCTACTCAAACCGCGATAACGCTATGATATATTGTGAATTACGAGCACCGAGAACGTTATAGTGAATTGGCGATTGGTTCACGGAACTAGCATCTATACCCAGTTTAATAACACGTTTCCCAAAAGAATTTCGTGATTTTAACTTCTCATCAATTTTTATCTCAAATTCAATTTCAAATTCGAATTTCAATCTACAATATCTTTATCAAAATCATTTCAATCTGAAAAAGGATTTTAATATAATTGAATTATTGATTATTAGAATTATTTCAGATATTTTTCAATATTGAAATAACTTTATTATCAAAATATTTATTTTGAGATTGAGATGAAAAGATGAAAGAGGTCAAAAATCACCATTTTTTTTTGGAAATACGTTATTAAACTAGGTGTAGTTTTACTATGCATCGCTTAAAATCAAACGGGAACTCGCTAGGTCTTTTGCGATATGCAACATTGGGCCTAAACTGGAATAATGAGTGAGTACATGTGAGGGATCACAAGCAGGGAATAGGCCGGATAGTATCAGTACTACAGTTAGGGTATAGTTTGTACAGAACTGAACTCATACCACTGCCATGGTGGTATGAGGGTAGTTCTTTATAGATTTCAGTACGAACTAACTAATAAAGAACAAAGGATACGAAAGGATACTCCGTATCCTTTCACATGCACGCTTTTCCGGCTAGTCCCCGGAAGGGGATTAGTCACTACGCGGTGACAGTACAGCACCGCTATGGTGAATGATTTTGATGTTAGTGGAGGCATTGACAAGATCATCTGAACGAATTAAATACCATGGATGTTAGCGCACACCTTAGGGTACTACTATTTCCCTTGAATCTGATAATGACTTGAGATGATTAACTCTTAATCTATGTGAGGTTGTGTTAGACTTGTTAAAGTTGGGACTAAAGTTTATTTCGATATTCAATAGTAATTTCATACTTTAGCCTTACAAATTTGGCAATCATCCGCGCAGGGGAGAATGCAATAGTTATGAAGATGATGCTACGAACAAGAATTTAGATGCGGAGCGTAAGCTACAAGCTTATATAAGAGTTCTGGCCATCACTCACCGTACACCCTTTCGTTTCGTGACAAAATCCCTGCAAAAACTATACTTTTCTATATAAATATAAAAATCAAATAACTTTTTCAATATTGAATATATGATTTTGAAACTTTTTTATATAATTAATTGTTGGAAGTTGATGTTATATGTCACGTGTTCTACACCCTTGTCTACCTTATCTTACCTTACTCTACCTTACTCTATCTTACTCTAGCTCGGATGAATACCTTAGGCATTCATCCACTATATAGTTGAGGTTGCTTTATACACCTTCTTTTCTCTAAGTAGTTTAATATAATCTTTCTTAAGATAATCAATAATACTATTATTTCTATTATATTATAAAATATTACTTTCTAATAGATTATAAGTTCTGGTTTATAAAGCAATTAATAATCAAATAAAACAAAAGAATTATATTATTATCAAAAAAATGATTACATAACAAAAGATAAATTACAATACCAATAAACAAAAACGAAAAGGAATTATATCATTATTATTAAAAGATTATAAAGCAAAACATTTTATATAATAATATATTATATATATTAATAAAACAAAACAATTATTTAAGTTAATCCTTATTATTAGTAAAAACAAAACAAATTACATAATTATTAATAAATAATCATTTTTCGGCTATTATCGAAATCTATCTAC